GACCCATCTAACTAAGGTGGAAATGCAATGAGCCATGCTTACTCAGCAGGAAAGACAAAGGAAGATGTCACCTCTCCCAACATGAGGATGAAGATGTAGGAAGTGAGGTCAGTAACCCTAAGGATATAAGGTGGAATCTACACACATATAAAAAACACTGTGAAAATGCTTTAAAAAAAAAAAAGGTTAGAAAAAGTACATTGAATTTGGCATAGCTCACCGTCTCCATCTAGTGTCACATTTGTATATAGAACTTTAGGACACATTTAAACCATTTTATTTGCAGCTGTATAACTGAGTCTAGCATCTGATAGGAGGTCAGCACTGGTTAGCTCAGAAATGACAGTCTAGATAACTTGGAGGTTCCTCTGTCTACTTTCCCCCATGCAGACACATCAGCCTTCAGTGCAAGCTGAGTTATATCTTAACCCTTCCTAGTATTAAGGATATATTGTTCTGCAGTTGAAATACAGGTACATAGTGACTGGGTATATTTACTTCCCTTGAAGGGCTCCTCCACACTTGTCCCACAGCTTTCACCCAAGAAAACTCTTGGTTTAGTGCTGAATCGGAACAGGCAGGCTTTTCCATGCATTGCTATTTGCTCTGATTTAGTGCCAAACAGTGTTTTTTTTGGGGGGGAGAAAGGCAAAATCCCTAAGAATCCTTATGTTTGAACTATAATAAGACGCATCACTTAACAGACATACCTAAAATCATCTTCATGTTAATTACTTACCACAGTTATGCCATGGTGGCTGAGCTAATATGAAGATACTTATTCAAGAAACTCATCAAGATTTCAGAGATCCCAGATCAGAGGCAAGGTAAAATAAGACCCAAAAAGCCCTTTTAGGAGTGCCAAGGCTTATACACCTTGAGACATGTTACCTTTCCCTGCACCACAAAACAATTCCTTATATTTTGGGTAAGGATGTTTCAAGCTACTCCAAGTTAATTTGGGGAGGAAGGTTTGGCTGGTCAAATGGCGTAAGAGCAGCTCATGGAAGGAAGACTCAAAAGCACCATCATATGTGCACAGCTTAGCACCTGCTTATTGGATTGAAGCCAAATACTGCATTCCTTCACTCAGTCTTATACATTCAATTAGAACATTCACAGGATTGGAGCTGAAGTGTTTATTTCCAAAACAGAGATGTATACCACTGTCCAAATATAACACCTTTCTGAAGCAGGCCTGTAATGAATAGGAACGAGGGACTCACATTTTGAGGTGGTAATTGTCGCTGTAACCACTTGCTTTTCAGTGTTTTCCCCAAGTTAGTCAAAACAAAACAAAACTGTGCCAGAAGAAATCCGAAAGGAATGTTTAGCATAAGTGTCACCAGTCACCCTGTTTCCTACATACATGCTTTACTTATAGGAGCATCTTAAAAAGTGATGCCTGCAATCTTAAGTGGCCCATCCCATTTAATCTCCTCAAATCTTGCCGGCCTCATCCTGCTACATTTGTAGACCCAGCACTAACTTCACAGAACTAGGTGGAATTTCATGGGTTATCTGGGGATAGTTGCTGGAAAAACTTCCCACTCCTTGTCATGAGATTCACCAAGTGTTAAACACAAAAGTGAGGAAAGAATGTGCTGTCTTCAGCACTGCAGTCCCCCTGGGCTACACATCTATGGAAAGAAAAGCATCTGGGGGGAGTTACTTGGATTGTAGAAGTGGCTAAGAGGGGAAAAGATTCCCCCTCTGCTTCTGAGCTCCAAATTGTTCCTTCTGATGCATCTCTGTCTGTCTGTCTGTGTTGGGCTTAAGATAGCATAAGAAAATGAGCAGCACTTCCCCAGTTGTGTTTCCCAACAACTGGTATTCAGAGGCATAATAGACACCCTCACTTAAGTAGGGTGCTGGGTAACATGGTTGCCATAGCAACCATCTCCTAGGGGCCATGGGGGCTTTGGCTCCCACAATAAACTATTTTAGGGGGCCAGGTCCCCACAAAGTTGATGGGCATTTCCATTCAAATGGGGTGTGTGCACTGCGTCATGTGATCGATCATGTGGAGCAGGGCTCACCTGGGCGCCCACAATATTTTATTCAAGTGGACAGCCCTGATGATTGCTTTTTTAGGTGCATTATTAGATAAATCTCACCCTCCATTCCCACAGCAGAGGTTCCCAATTAACTCTTTGCAGTAGTATTTATGTTTATCCAGCAGCAAAGAATTAGTTGGGTGGAGGGGAACCTGTGACTGCTTAATCGTCACCCAGAGTAAGGATGAGGCACTTTTAGAACAAGAATTTTGTTTATGCTCAAAGAGATTATCGTTTAGTGAGAAGTTTTTTAACACTCTGTTTCTTTTTTAAAAAAACACTCTTTACAGAGATATTTAGGATATTCCTTAACTTCATGCTTTAAACCTGTCACTGGACAGCTTAATTATTTCTAGGATGACTACTGCCTTGCACTACCTGTAAAACATTCCCAGCACCTTCTAGAGCCCTAAAATTCCCCAGGTAGTTAGAACTTTGCCCACAGACAATTCCTATCTTTAACAAAGAGCCAATTTGCTGTCCCCGCTGACAAATAATCCTTATTTGAGTCTGCTCAGATAGCCAGACAAGCCTTCTGCCCACCCAGACAGAATGTTCCTATCTCTAATCCCAGATCCCTGTCTAACTCACAGACAATCTCTGCCTGTGCTCTCTCAGGTAGCCCCTATCTGACTGTTCACTTAAATTCTGTTTCCTGATTGCCCAATGGACTGGCCAGCTCCCACTGGTTGCTGGGTCACTAGGAAGCAGAGTCAGGTCCTTTCCATCCACAAATGCCTCTGACATTGGAGGTGGAACACAGGTATCCTTGCTAATAGCCATTGATAGCCTTATCCTCCATAAATTCATCTAACCCTCTTTGAAAACCACTCAATTTAGTGCCCATTACTGCATCTGGTGAGAGTGAATTCACACAGCCCACCATTAAATGAAGCAAAAGAACACTCTGATCCTATCCACTGACCACATATGCCACCAACAGCTATTATCAGCAGGTGGGCCTGAACTGGGTATGAATAACCAACACTTCTTTTTGCTTAGATCTGGCCTTCAACTGCTCTCCTTCTTTTGCCTTTTCCCTTCCTTTCTGTTTCTTTGTAAGCCTGATGACAGTGCTTTGTCTCTCTCTCTCCTTGTTAATTGATATGAGTCCCTTGGTATATGATAATAGTCTGAAAAGTGGGGTTCAGAATAAATAGCTGCAAAAACACAGTTGGAGCCCTGCACGAAGAGGCAGCTTAGAGGTGAAATTTGGAGTGAAGTGTTAGGCAAGGATTGGAATGAATTTAATACCCCAGCTGATTCTCCATTCCTGAAGCGGTAAGGAAAAGAAAATACATTTGGGTTTGTTACACATATTGGCAGATACTGTTTAGGCCATAAATTGACCCAAGAGCCAGAGTACCGGCTCGGAAACCCTAATTTTAACTGATGGAATAAAGAAAGCAGTGTTCTTTCTTCATCTCTTGTGTTGACTTGCACTGTAGAAGAACAATGGAGCAATTCAGTATTCCAGCAACATTTTGTATCCCTAGAAGACCTTAAAGCTTGGCATAGTACAATGGGACCCTATTCTCTCCCTTCCCTTTTGACCTGCTTGCTACTGGGCTGAAGACAATAATAAAGTCTCCCAGAAGGAGAAAAACTTGTAATTCTTTGGCATATTTATTGGGGCTATTGGGTTTCTTTCTCTTTTCTTGACTTAGGGAATTTCAACATCAGATTTATTATTAGAGTTGATAATAAATAATAAATAAATAAAAATTATATACCACTTATTGTACTAAAACCTCCAAGCAAAAAATTCCAAACACATCACACATTAAATATATCAGTAATAGACAGTTAAAACAGATACTTAAAACATTCAAAAACAATTAAACTCAACCACAAGCAAAATAAGAATTTATATAAAATATTTGTATACTGTTATATCATAAAAATATATCTAAGCAGTTTACAGCAGTAAAAACATAAAATCAATAGTCTGCAAACACCCAGTGTTGTTTAATGTTCCTGCAAATGGCAAATGAACTAGGATGAAAACTGATTTGCATACACAAATTTTCAGGGAGATTAAACAGCATCAGTTACTTATTGAGCTTTCTGATTTGCCACATAGATTATATGACGTTGCATCAAGCAAATTTGTACCCCACACTCCCCAGTCCATTTTCTCATCACTTTCATTATTGCAAAAAAGGGTCCGATTTTTGTGTGTGGTGAGAGAAGCACGTTTTCACGCAACACTGATAAATCAACTTTTAATAGCACAACCTGAGTTTATATACACACAAACACATATACTTTTTATTAATTTTTTTAAGAAAGGTTATACAATATTCTGCAAAATGTTATGAAACAGGATCTGGTGACAATATATGTAGTTTGTATACAAATACTGACAGAAAAGGAAACTAAATGAACCATGGATATGTGAATGCATGGAAGGTAGCGACTAGAACTGTGTTTTGATGGCAGACAGTGGATCTGTTGCACAGGAATGCCAAGCCTCATGGAGCCTCGATGCTGTGGGATATCCAGCCTATAATGATGGTGATGACGTTGATAATGGTGAGAGCTGTTTTGACAGTGGAACGGACTCCATCGGAAAGTGGTGGACTCTCCATCCATGGAGGTTTTTAAGCAGAGGTTGGATGGCCACCTGTCATAATGCTTCAGTTGAGATGCCTACATTGCAGGGGGTTGGACTAGATGACCCTCGGAGGCCCCTTCCAAATTCTTTGATTCTAAGGGCAACGAGGCCCAGTTTAAACTTACGAGCGCTCTTACTTTTTGCCGTGAAGCTACAAAGCCCCACTGGACGAAACGGGAGACGGTCAACCAAACCCCAACAGCCCGCCCCCCCCCCCGTGCCGTTTCCCCTCCAACACAGCCCTGGCGGCCAGCATCTGGCGCTGAAGGAAATGCCTCCCTCCGCCCCTCCCGCTCCAGTTTCGTTTTTCCCGCCGGCCTGTCACCATGGCAACAAGCCCAAGCGAGGCCTGGCCTGGCGGGCCGCGCAGGCGCACCCGCGGCGCTTTTTTTGTTCGGAGGCCGCTCCTCTTGGCTTCGCCTCGCCTTTTCAAGAAGCCGCCGCCTGGAAGGCGGGACGGGCCCTCCCATCCCTCGGGCCTTCCCCAATGCCGGCCGGGCCCGGCGCGGAGAGGAGGTCCGGGAGCGCCGGATGGGGGCTTTCTCCGCCCCGCCGCCGCCTCAGAAGCCGACCGTGACGAGGTGGGTTCGCTTCCGCCGCTTCGCAGGATATACTCCCGCGGCGTCTGCCCTCCTTCTCCCCCCGCACCCACAACCGGAGGGGGGCGGCTCCCCGAGGGCTCCGAGACGAGGCTCTCCCCGGCCAGCCTCGCAGCTCCCCCGGTGCCGCTTCCTCCGTTTTCGGAGCCCTGAGTTGCACCTCCCCCCCCCACACCTATAAGCTTTTCTCCCACCCCACAGACGGCTTCCTCTGCTGCCCCTGTGCGCTTCTCAGGTGGCCTTCAGGGATGCTGCTGTGTGGGTCACTCACACGCTGGCTGGCCACCTGTCATGCATGCTCGGGTTGAGATTCCTGCATTGCAGGGGGTTGGACTAGATGACCCTGGGGGTTCCCTTTCAAACTCTACGATGCTATGATTCCATGACCCACCCACTCATCTTCCAGGCTGCTTCCCCACATAGGCAGGATTCACCTTTAGTTCCTAGGCAGCGTCTCACTCCGAACAGGGGAACCCTCGCCCCTTCAGTGATATGCTCAAAAAAAGCTTGGGGGGTGGTGGGAAGCAACCCTAAACTAAATCGGGGAATCTGGAGACAAGAGTATGAGGGTTCCTCTCCTTCTGAAGAGACACGGTGGCTGCTTGGACTCATGCACTTTGGCAATCGGGTGCTTCAGGCTTTTTGTGTTGTTTCAGAGAATTGGCCACCAGATGACAGTGGAAAGATAGACGCTGTGGAAAGCAAAAACATTTTCAGACAACTTAACACGCCTAAAATAATGTCTCCTGTCTGATCAGAAGGTACTTTGTCACCTGCCTTTGTCAAGATGTAAGGGATGTAACTTGCATTAAATCGGGCCATTTAGTGTGGATAACCTAGGCATTTAGGGGCCGTCTTCTATGGACAAATAAAAATGTGCAATCCTTTATGTGATGAAATGATAGGAGGGGTACCTTTTTGTATTATTTGCAAAAATATCCAAGCACTGAATATGCAGTGCACTCTAAGGCAGGGGTGGGGAACCTTTTTGAGCATGAGGGTTCCCTACCCTCATGGGTGAGGCTCTTGTGCTGGTAATGGGCAGAGTAACAAATGTAAATTTACCTTTCTGCAGTAGACTAGCTTATTCACATAAAAACATGCAGTTCTAAGAATTTTGTTGGGGTAGAAAACCTATAACTGCCTTGAAAAAAATAATTGATAATTACTATTTCTTTAAACTTTAACACCTATGCATTTCTAGAGAAGCCAAGATAAATGTTATGGGTGATATCCAACTAAGTCATACTCAGAGTAGACCTATTGAAATTAATGGACTTGATTAATTTCAGTCTACTCGGAGGCCATGTACAATGTAGCCTTTGCGAATCATAGGGCTCATTTTCTCACAGTGTTCCTTTATACATAGTGGTTTGCAATTGTACACACCTTCCTGTGATAGTGTCATCTCAAATGACAGCTCCTATCGGTGTTTTCTGTATGTTTTCAAACTAGTGTGCAAACTATTCCCTTCCCCTCGTTTGGTATTTCCACAGACTTTAGAAAGAGAGGGTCTGGAAACTGGTATATTGATGTACAGATGATATATATTGGTATACAGAGGCAGCTAATAGTGGCCACTAATGAAAAACAATGGGTTGTATTCAATAAAGTAGCCCTGCTCAGAGTAGCCCTAATGAAATTAATCGACCTAACTTGGTCAATATTCATTAATTTCAGTGGTTCTCATCTGCACTTAAGTTATTTGTCAGCAGGACAGAGAGAACGACCTCTCTAGAAGATCTCAGTGCCTAGACAGGCTTGAAAGGAACAAGATGGTCCTCCAGGTAGCTGTTGAGAAGCCCTTGGACATACTTGGGAGTTATTTCTTACATGCTAGCAATTTAAAGTCATCTAAAAGCTATAGACAACTCTTTGTGGTTTTTCATCACCTCTGATAATTTACCGTATTTTTCGCCCTATAGGACGCACCGGCCCATAGGACGCACCTAGATATTTTTTTGGGGGGGGAATAAAGGGGAAAAAATTATTCCCCGCCCCCAGGCGCGGGGCTGGGGCGGGGGAAGCCCGAGCTTCCCCCTCCCCCAGCCCCCAGAACGGGACCCAGAGCGATGCCGAAGCTGCGTGCAGCTTTGGCATCGCTCTGGGAGCTTGCGGGGCTGGAGGAGGGGGAAGCTCTCCGCCAGCCTTCTAACCAAGTTGGGGGACAGCGGGAAAAGCGCGCTGCGCCTCCCCACTGTCCCCCGCGCTTGTGGGGCTGGCAGTGGGGCTCTCCTGAAGCCTGGAGAGCGAGAGGGGTCGGTGCACACCGACCCCTTTCGCTCTCCAGGCTTCAGCGAAAGCCTGCATTCGCCCCATAGGACGCACACACATTTCCCCTTCATTTTTGGAGGGGAAAAAGTGCGTCCTATAGGGCGAAAAATACAGTAACTATTTTTTCCCAGTTTATGAAGGAAATGGGCTTAGGTAAGGGAATTGATTCAAACAAGATCAGTTTTTACTTTTGCGTATTTGACAGCTCACGGCTTTACTGGCAGTGTCAAAAGCCTGATTTTATTTGTATCTCATTATGGCTATGGGAAGTGTGTTCTGATTAAGTTAAAGCTTTTCCTTTACATGTTCACTGATTATACTTGTGCTTTTAAAAACAACTTGCATCTGCCCAATTCTGCCAGTAATTTTTCCTGTAGTCTAGCAGAAGCTTTTTAACTTCAGAACCAATCACACTAACATTAGACATATTAAAAGTCCCATGATTTCAGTGGGAGATAAGTATACATTTTGTTCTCATGTTGAGATAAGTTAGATTTAGAAATGCTTAATCTGGATAGAATTGTACCACTGTTTGACAATTTTAACGATGAGTTACCATGGCCTCCCAATAGGGTTAGTGACTGCACTGGTGGGATTTAGCAGCACTGAAGTATTGTGCTTACTCAAATAAGTAGCTATGACCTAAGACACAGGGAGTACACATCTTGGGTAAACATATGTGGTGTTATTACATAATAGCTTTTCTTCTTGAATCCTTTGCTCTGGAAAAAACCATGTTTTTCATTCGTTGATATTTGTGTTTGTGCTTGTGGTATTAGAGCTCTTGAGGCTAAATGTTGTGCTTACTTAACCTAGTTTTGTTTGACAGAGCTTCTTAAAAATGTGGTTCAAATTAGAAAATAAATAAAAAGTGAATGTTTTCACATATACATTATTTTTACTAATTAATAACAAAAATTAGTTATCTGGTTATTGTTTCTGCCTTGATTTTTTTTTACTGTTATTCACATAATAACAGCAATAAAACTGATTGGCTTCCTAGCTGATTATGTGGAGCTAATTATTTTTTTCTTCTGCACTGTTCCCTTGACTCTTGGTGCTTAGAAAGAACTTATTGTTTCTAGCAAGCTTTCATCCCAGTTAGTAAAAATTGGGCCCCAGGCCTGTGGGATAATTAATCCCAGGGTGATATATACAAGCAATATATATAAGGTGATACATACAATTGCTTTTGAAGCAATTTTCTTTCCCTAGTTTCTCTTATCAACAGTTTCTCTAAAGTCCTTTATGGTAGCAAGGGAATATATAAACAAGTGACACAATGCTTCAAATTTCAGAATTGGCTGGATGCAACCAAAGTTCTGAAGTGCATTGTTAGCTCTCTCTTTTTAATCCATTTTTTTAAAAGTTGCAGGTTAGTTCTGTATGCATTTGACTGTTCTCATTTTAATATGTTTGAACTGCATAATTATCTCAAAGACATTTCTTTTTACATTTTTATTTATAAAGTACAAAAGTACAAAATACAGAACTGAAGAATAAAAGCAAAAAGTGAAAGAAAAAGAAAGAAAAAAAGAGAGACCAATATTTGATCACTATCTTGTTTAGGTACAGTGGTGCCTCACAAGACGAAATTAATCCGTTCCGCGAGTCTCTTCGTCTTGCGGTTTTTTCGTCTTGCGAAGCACGGCTATTAGCGGCTTAGCGGCTATTAACGGCTTAGGGGCTTTAAGAAAAAGGAAACAAACTCGCAAGAACTCGCAAGACGTTTCGTCTTGCGAAGCAAGCCCATAGGGAAATTCGTCTTGCGGAACGACTCAAAAAACGGAAAATTCTTTCGTCTTGCGAGGCATTCGTTTTGCGAGGCATTCGTCTTGCGAGGTACCGCTGTATAAGTGTAATATATGCAATGACCCAATAATTCCAGTTGTTTATAATCTCAGTGTCTTTGCTGGCCAGTCAAATATAAGCATTTAGCTGACACACTATTTTCCAGGCTTATTTGCTGTTCAGGCTTAGGTCTTGGGCAGGAGTTGCCTCTAGAGCTTTCTTGCTTGCATAAATCGAATAGATATCTCCTCCTAAAGTTCTGTGAATATACGTTACTGTATTCCAAAGAGAGTAGGCTAGGGTGAATACAGTGGCAACTATGTGCTGTATCAGCTGTAGAAAAGGAGGAGCCGGAAGGTCAAATAAAACAGTGCAGTAAAGTTCACTTCTGTAGTGTGCAGAAGAGTCACAATTTCAGCCAGTGTGTTGTAGGAGTTCAGACTAGGACTGGGGAGACGCAAGTTAAAATCCCCACTGTGCCATTAAGCTCTTTCTGAGTTGCCTTGAGGCCAACCACTAGCTCATTTTACTGCCCAGGGCAGCAGACACTAATAAAAAGACAATGAACAACAAAATGAAAAAATATTTAAAACATGCATCGTCTTGGACCATCTTGGTCTAAAACTTGGACCATCTTGGCTGTGAGTCCTGGAAGACCCGCTCCATGCCTTGCAGGCCTTTTCCCACCTGGCCTGGGAGAGCAGGGCCTTGACTGATTCCAGCTACAAAACCTGAGGCTATTGAACAGACTCTTGGGCTGGGGGGTTTAGGGAGTTTTGTTGGTTTTTTCAGCTATTGCTGTTAATTATTTGTATCTTTATTTTAGATCTTATGATTTATGTGAAAATTGTTTGATTTGGTTGTGTATTTTTATATTTATTTAGTGTTTATGACTGCTTTATTATGTTGTAATTATTTATTTTTTCCACTTTGTAAGCCATCTTGAGCATGGGTTGAACTATGGAAAGGCGGCATGCAAATAAAATTATGTATGTATGCAGTCATTTCTGTTTTCTGAGGCTAACTTGGCTAATACCTGCTCTGTGTTTTATCTGCTGCTGACTCAAATTACTGGTGACGTTTTGGTTTTATTGTATATTTTACTGCTTTATTTCTTATACCACCCAGGAATGTATTGAATGAAGGGCAGTATACAAATGTTTTTAAAATAGAAGAGAATGAATTAATGCATTTACCAAAGGGATGCCTTACAAACTTGCCTTATCAGATGCTGGCAGCTGCAGTTTAAAAAAAACAAAAACAATATACCAGCCTGTTGTTTAAGCAGCTGCCTAGTAGCCATGAGGTGAGTGAGTGGGTTAGTGGAAAAGGGAGGACCCTTTTTTTTGCCCAACAGACTGCTGGAAGAGGGTCTGAGCTCTCCATCGCTCCTGTGCCAGCCCCCAACAGGCAAGTAACATTTATAGGGATATATACGAGGTTGCTTTTACCATGCTCAGCCTAGTTAACTTAGCTTTAGCTTCCAAATTCTGTGTTTCAAAAGTCACAGGAGGAAGCAAAACAGTCTAGAGAGGTGGTACGAAAACATAATCTGTTTTAATATAAATATTATATTATAAATATTAGAGTGTGAAACTATAATCACTGTTCCAAAGTGATAAACTTCATTTACCGCTTAAGAATAAAGGGGTGCTTTCTAGATAAGAAAGGCATTCTTATTTCAAAATGGTTAACTTCATTTTCCTTTTCATTATTAACTTTTAATATAAGTGTTCATCAAGAAATGCTTGTTGGATACCTAAAATTACCGAATTAAGGTGTGTATCTTAACTGGCAGTTTTGAATTAATTAACTTCAAAAATAACAAGGAAGAATACTGCATTGCAATGGCTTACTATGACCTGTTTGTTTAAAACCTATTTATAATATAGGCCAGGCCCAAGAAAGCAGTATTTGGGATAATTATCTACATAGCACATTTAGTGTTCTGCATGTAGGTTGAAGAGAAAGTAGGCTGCTACTGGCTCCTCCCAGATTACCATTTACAAATCCAATTAACAACAGCAGAAACTGCAGCACCCAGCAGAACCCTTCTGTATTTCTACACTGTGCTGTTCTTGTGATTGGTCAAAACTGGTAGTAATGAAAGGATCAACTATTACCAATTCTTTTTACTGGGTTACAGGTAAGGCTAACAAGCTGCAATTACTGTGAATGATCTGCTTGTAAAATAGGAGGTTAACATTAATTATGGGCATTTGAAATGTTCAGATACAAGAGAACTGTAAGCGGAGAGGACAGTTCTAAAACAAGTTTTATGATAAAGCTATTTAATACATTTAATTGTAGAACATAATGATTCTAATTCCCATGTAAAACTGGAAAAGGTGGAAAATGTCAGCTTTTTTTGTTTGTTTTTGAAGCAGTTAATGTATTCAGTTTTCCACACTCTTTTGTTACAGTTTTCTGTGTTAATTACTGGCTGGAAGCGTGTTCAAGATACTGTAAAATATTTGAAAATTGTTACGTTGCGTCCTGCCATAATAATACTGACAGTGGATTACTTACTGCTAATTAATTTCTGTCATTTAGCATTCAAGTTCTTGCCGTTAATACATGGCAGTTTGAAACACTGAACTATCATAGAACACCACGTATCACCAATTAAATTGCATGTCTTTATTCCTTTTGTCTGCATTTGGTGCATATAAGCAGCCCTGGCTCTACCTAAACATGGTGCTTACTGATTAAGTGAAAATCAGTTGTGACTAAAACAGATAGTGAATGGTTTTTCAGCAAATCAAAGACAATTTTCCACTTTTCTTCTGGTCCTTGTCCTACACATAGTGATTATTTTTCTGCCACCATCTCACATGATTAACCTAGATATTTAGTCTTGTACCTTGTCTTTCATCTTAGGACAGGGATTGTACTGTGGCTGGAATGGAAAGTTGGGTACATAAGCTTCAAGAATTGTAGTTTATGTACTTCCAGTTTTGTAATTGTGAGACTGAGGGGCTATAGCTGTGTGTATAGAGCTTGGGCACAATGGTTCTTTTCCTGACCCTCACCTCAGTACACCAATATTTCTGCTCTAGAAATGGATTTGTCTGACAGATGTGGCACAACAACTATTAGCAAGCCAAGAAAAGGACTCAGGAAGTTCACGTTCCATTTACGTGTGTCCTAGTGACCTTTTGGCCAGTATTGAGCCAGCTATGATTCTTAAGCTCACTTTAACAGCTGGCAGGCAGCGTTGCAAGCGTGCACCTTTGGCACTTGCCTTATTTAAACTGCTGTTGCTATAGATGTATCACCATCTGTTCTTTCCATCAGTTGCAGCTGTATTAGCTAATATCTTTTCAGCGAATCTCTCTGGCAGCAGAGTACTGTGCCCCCCTAAAACTCTTTCCTTTGGAAGGCCCTCCAGAGCAACTTGAGAGACTTCTGCCAGAAGGAAAAAATAAGTTGCTGGGGTGAGAAAAGGCACCCATGGACTCTGGCACTGGCTTCCCATTGCCTGCAGCAATGGTTTGAGGCAGCCCTGGCGAGATGCCTTATGGTGGCTTCCTCCTCCTGCTGCCATGGCTCTGCTTCTCCCCATTTGCCATTGTTTCAGTGTAACTGCCCTTTCCTGCTCTGCTTGTCTACCCAATTGCTTGCTTGGTGAATGGAGCAGCTGACCACACTTTTCTTTAGGAAAATGGTAGTAGCCGTCTGGGTGCTCCGCTACCAAATGTAAAATGGCACTGGCAGGAAGTCAGAAAACAACTCTCTTATGTGATCACATAATGCATAAGTTCCTTTCCCACTTCCTGTCAGTGCCATTTGCGAAACAGATGAGAAGTAGTCAGTTGCTCAGGCTGCAATATCAGTAAAACTGAAGCTGTGCAGCTGGGTTTTAAATTGCATTCCTTGAAACTTCATCACTTCCAAGCAGTGGTTCTCCTGAGATATTTAACAAAAGCATAGCAAGACCAAAGGCCCATCTGGTCTAGCATCCTGTTGCTACAGTGATGGACCAGATGCCTATGGAAACCTGCAAGCAGGATAAGAGCCCCATAGCCCTCTTCCCATTTGTGTCTTCCTTTATTTTACTCAATACAGTATACACACACAAAATAAACAAATATCACATTATTCTCTGAACTGTCCTGAGACCTCCGGGTATAGGGAGGTATATAAATTCAATAAATAAAAATAAATAATAAATAACATAATTTTACATAACCTTAGAGCATTAATGGTCAGTATAGGCTCTCTACAGACATGTTTGTGAGTTTAGTGGGAGAGATTTGCTATCAACTTCCCTTATGTAAGAAAAGAAGGGGGACCAGGTTTCATCATTATGACACCTTTTGCTATCCTTCTAAGCCCAGTTAATTGCTCTGAAATAGCCACGTTCCAGATATTTTTTAATCAAACTTCAAGGGGTAGCTCAGCCTGGGATTTCCAAAAATACGCTATCACCAAATGTGCGGCCGTCAGTAAAAAGAAAATTAGATCTTTATGTTGAATAGTAGGATCAGACTCTAGATTTCATGAGAGCAGGGTTAAAGCTAGATTTGGTGAGAGAGGTGTATCAATTTTAGAAATGATACCGAAGACCTTTGTCCAAAATGCGTGGACAAATTTACATTCCCACCAAGCATGAAAATATGTTCCCCTATTCCCACATCCCCTTCCACAAAGAGGGGATAAGGATTTGTTGATTTTTGCTAAGCGAACCCGAGTCCAATGCCACCTGAGGACGACCTTCAAAGAAGCTTCTTGAAGGTGAGATGAAATGGTTCTTAAAGGTGGGGTCCTCCATATGCCTTCCGACTCATTATCATTGATTTCTTTGCCTATTTCAGTCTCTCATACTACGTGCAAACCTTTCTCATTCCCAATGTAATATTCCATGAGCACACCATAAATCAATGAAACCACACCTTTCATATCACAGTGGGATTCAATACACCTTGTTTCAAATGTCATAAGAGAACGAACAACTGCAAATAAACAACATTGGAGAATCTGGAGCCAGTTGGGGTGCAGATCGTTTAGATTTTCCTTTAACCTTTCTTTACCTATTGCTTTGCCTTTATAGAGTGAGTATAAGCCTCTGTTTTTCCATTCTTTGTATGCCAATATTTATCTTATTGATAAATGGCAAATAAATTTATCTGCCTTGATAAAAGGCAGGATGGTCTAGAAAGGGAGTTACCGTAATGGTAACGTTCCAGAGGTCAACATTTTCCTTTGATTTTTCCATGTCAAGATTGCAGTTTTTTAAAAGGGATTCAATTCCCTTTATCACCGAATCTAATAATTTTAAGAAGGGAAGTGCTCAGAATGCTGGCATGGCGGAGGCAATTTCAATATGGACCCAGGGATCTTCTGTTTGGTCCCAATCAGTGGGATTAATGATTTCATTTGAAATGCCACTTTATCTACAACATGCTGTTACATGTGTAGAGTTTATGTGTTCTTCACACATGACCCTAAAACATGCTTTGAGAGACGGGGACTTTTATAATAATTTAAGAATAATTTATTATTTATACCCCGCCCATCTGGCTGAGTTTCCCCAGCCACTCTGGGCGGCTCCAGATCGAGTGTTAAAAGCAGTACAGCATTAAATATTAAAAACTTCCCTAAACAGGGCTGCCTTCAGATGTCTTTTAAAAATAGGATATCTGCTTATTTCCTTGACATCTGATGGGAGGGCGTTCCACAGGGCGGGCGCCACTACTGAGAAGGCCCTCTGCCTGGTTCTCTGTAACCTTTTGCAGGAGTCGCAACTGAGTGCCGTTCAAAAGATCTGTTTGAACAATTTATTCATACCACACCAAAGGTTTCTTTGGATGCTAAAGAGAAGCATCCATTTATTATATAAGCAACAAAAGAAATAACGGTGCAGCATAAATATAAAATCACAGGTGTTTTTGAACCAATGTCTTAACACATCCATACTCTAAAGAAATAAGCGGCCCTAATCTACAATAGAAATAAAGCAGTGGACCAATTGCCCGACTCAGTAAAAGGCAGCTCCCTGTGTTACTTGTTCTTCTATATGCTTGGGTTATTATCTGTTTGATAATGCTTTCCACTATTTTACCAGGAACAGCCTGTCATTTCCTGGATCTTCCCTGGATCCCTTTTTAAAAAAATGGTTCTATATTTGCCACTTTCCAATCCTCAGGTATGGAAGCTGATCTTAGGGACGTGTTACTTTAAGAACTCTGAGGATTTGTTCATTTTTAATTTATCGGTAAGGTGAGAACTGCTTACCACTGTTTGCTTCAGTTCAGGCACAAGAATCTGGCCTACGTTTTCTGCAGTGAAAACAGATGCAAAGAATTCAACCAGTTTCTGATTTTAGAAGTCTGGAACTGAAAGTGAAAATAAATAGCTGTGACTATGGACTGGCCAGTACAGTTAAGCACACTTTAAGCCCATTGAAATCAGTCAGCTTAAGCAGGCTTAACTCTGTGCTGGACTGTAGCCGGTGAGACTTGCATCCCATGATATGACTTGTATGATAAGGCTGCATTGTTTCGTTGCCTAGCTATATTAACAGCAAGGATACTACTGCTTAGTGCTAACAAATAAAATGTATAAAATAGATATTTGGAGAGTTAATTAAATTATATGGGTATTAATGGTAAGACAACAAAAATGGATTTTGTGAATTCTTGCAGTAATAAAGAAGAGCCTTGGAGGATAAATACCCACCATTTATTACGCAGTGGCGGGAAGACCTTCACATCCTTGCTACCTATTTGGATGGCTTATATTGAGCTATATGTGTAAACTAAGATGGGTGTATTGAAAGTTATTGTATTGTTTTCCTTTTATTTCCTTTTAATAAATTTTCAACAAAAAAGCAAAAGAAATTACTTTCTTGTGTTTTAAATAGTATCCCATATGACCTATTTTGATTTCTAAGATTGTGTGTAAGCATTTTTTTATACTGTATATATGAATCACTGAGAGTAAGTGGAGGTGTGTAGACTTGACCCAACCATGGATGGGTAAAAAAAGAAAGAGGTAATGTGATTTATTTATTGTTTTATTTTCTTACATTTATTTCTGACCTTTCTTCCATCATGCAACCCAAGATAAAGTGTGTGTGGTTTTGAGGTAGTCTCCCAACCAGGCACTGCCTAAACTCAGTCCTGTGTGGCTTCAGCAAGGTGCCATACCATACCCTGAGAACATCATGATTCTTGTCTGTTATATAACATCTCTATTATCATTACCCAAAATGTTAGATAGATGGATACGGATTGATACATTGTGGATTTATAATTTGTTGAGATAATCAGTAGGTAACTGAAAATAAATTCAGTAATTTGTCACCAGTTCCATTTTTGGAGGGTAAATTCTGACTCAGATGCCTTTTGCCTGCTAACTAGCACTCTCCTTGTGCGCCAATCCAGCCAGGTGCTTCATGCTTGTGGAAGCAGACTTCTGTGTTGTGCATCCCTTGTAAGATAGAGTTGTCAGCAGCTGGACTGAGGAGGAATGGTGGGGATCGCCCCCTCCCCGAACCTTCCCAAGAACAGGAGGACAGTATAGATTTATAACAGTGTTTTGCAGAAGGTCATAGTTCTGAGACTGCAGAGGGGAGAAGCTGGGAAATAATGGGAGAGGAACAGCAGGAAGAGGATGCACCAGGGGAGAGACAGCTGACAGACTCAGTGTCTTTAGAAATATTCCTGCCCCCCTCCCCCGGGACCAGGCAGGCATTGAGAGTAGTAGAACAGAAAGCTCAGAGGCAGAAAACTCAGATCAGCCGACGCAGGGATGACGCAGAATAGAAGAGATTGAGGGGGTGTGACTTTACTTGGAGTAACACCATTATCTAAGAGAAACTGCTTTTCTTCGTCTCTCTGTGAATAGTGAATAAAATATTTGGTAAGAACTCTTCTTGCTTATCTGCTTCTTGGCTGCCACCGTGGGAGGGATTTGATTTCCTGAAGCCTGATAAGAATTTTGCTTGTGGCAGAGGAATTCAAACCCCAGCCAGGCAGGGGTGGGAGATGATGCAGTGGCATAACCACCACAGCATCCACAGCTGCACTGCTCATGTTGACCCGGGTGGAAGGCAGGGTAGGCAAAAGCCTGCTCTGGACAACACCAGTCTGGAGTTGGCATAGTCACTGGGCCTGGTGCTGTTGGGTGAGGGCAGTGGGGCTGGTTGGGGATCCAGGAAAGCCCATACCAGTTCAGCCCCATCCCTGGAGCTTTCCATGGGCTACTGCCAGTGGGAAGCCTGCCAGACATCAGAGCAGCGGCTGGAATGTGGAGCAGGGAGCAGTGCAGTAATCCTGGGCTAGGTGGAGGGAGACCTCCACTCCATCCGCATGCATTCTAACCCAGCAGATCATGGTTTTGGATTGCATTTGCAGCCCGCCCAGTCTAACAGCAGAGCAATGTATGTAGCCCTTTCAAATAACCACAATTCTACTGATCAGGTCAATGGGTTGTTGAAAGTTCCCTCTTTCTTTTTTTTAAAAAAAAGATATTTATTGAAATTTTCAAAATGTTACAAAAAATAAAAAAAATAGAAACCGAAGAAAGTACAAACAATAAAAATAGTTGACAAAGTAGGAAAGGAAAAGAAAAGAACAAAAAACAAACCCTTCCCACCATATGAGAGAAAATTCAAAATAAGAAAAAATAACAGAAAAAAAGGAAAATACAAAAATCACAAACCTTTAAAAACATTTAAAAACAAATTCATTATTTTCAAATCCTTAACTGTCCTTGCCTTCTTTCTTAGACCTCCTCCTCCTCCCTTTCTTTGTATCCTAGTTATTAATTATCCCAGCAAATCCTTTCCATGTTTCATAAAATTCTATCCTTGCATTACCCTAAACTATTTTGATCTTATCTTTCTATAATAAAATAAACCTTAAAACTTAAAACTTAAATCTTATCCTTACCAACTTCTCATAACCATAATATTCTTTCATAATTCTTTAAACATCTTTGCTAAAGCCAAGTAATTTCATTCCAACATTTTTCTATCATTCATCACTTTTATAAAGCAGTTCTAATGGTAGAAAAAAGGGGTACAAACAGATCCACTCTTCATCCAGCGTCCCTTCCTCCTGGTTCCGGGTTTTGTCAGTCCTTATTCCCGTCAATCTAGCCCATTAACCTGGCAACCTTATATCCGAGGCCCTCAAGTCTCTTCCATGTCCCTTCCGCGGTTGTTCTTCATATTTGTAACTGTATTTTCCCTTATCTCCTGCTCGTGGTAACTCCAGCTTGACGATGTTTTTAGCCCTTCTCGACAAATCAGCCCCTTTTCCATGTTCAACACTAAATTCCATGTAGTATTTAAAAGCATGTTTCAAAGACCCTCCAAAATTGAGAGCCCCCACAGTCCCAAACATCTCACGGCCCGTTGCCATATTTGAAAAGTCCAAACGTCCCAGCATAGGGGGGTCAACCCAGCCCCCCATTTCCAAACCAAGCCAGACTTTTCCTTTCCAAATCTGGCTTTTTCCAAGTTCATTTGTCAAATCCGAAAAATCATATTCCTGTTGGGCCTGTTCTGTCAAAACACACTCCTGATTTAATTCCTGAGTGGGCTCCACATATTTTCCCACTGTCTGTTCAAAATTTCCCACTGCCTGTTCCAAATTTCTAGTCGAAGTCGCCATCCAATTCACCTTCTCGTGTAATTGTTCCAGTAGGGCATTTGTTTTACAGAGAGCACACAACAAGGCTTCTGAATACATTGTCCTGCAAGGTCAGATGTCTGTTCCCACGGTTGTAATCTGTAACCGCTGCTGGCTCCCTGGAGTTAGTTACAGTTTCACAGTTACAATTTCACAGACTCCCCCTAGGGGGAAGACTTCTATTTGTTCTTGCAACAAAGTTTCCTTTTTTAAGATACTTTGTCCGTATATATTCCTTTAAAATGCGAAAGGGAACAGTGGAATCACTAGATTTCTCTTCTTTTAGCTATCTGTCAACGACACTTGTCTTTGGTCAATGAACTTCAAACGTCAGTCCTGACACCCCGCTCCAGGATCAGGACGGAGGAAAGTTACTTCACTTTAAAGTCACTTTAAACAGTCCAAAAAGATCCCCCCCTTCTCCTGCTGTCGAAGGGGGGTTCCACAATTTTAAATGGTGAAATCCAATCTTTTAAAAACGATTTTCTGAGCTCTAGTTTCAATTGTCTTTGCTTTATTCTCTTTACAAAAGAACGGAAGGTTGACTTCCTGTTTAGACCTTCCCGTTCCAGTTCCCTCTTTCTGTGCTTAACAGCAGATCAGTGGAACTTCGTCTATAAAGGCACAATTCGGCTGCTCCTTGCAGATTCTGTTGGATCAGAGAACTGGGACACATGTGGACCTGCTTTGATTGAAATAAATAGAGCAAGGTTACAGCCGTGGTAAAATACGGTAATCTCTCAATTTATAAAGACTGAAGCGGAGTTTCCATTAAGCAATTGAGTCTTGAATTTTGATTTCTGACTCTTTGCTCTTTCAAAAAATACTCTCAAAATTGTTCACTAAATGGATGAGGGATAAAGAAGGAAGTGCTATCAGTAAAGAAGTAGGATTAGAACAGTTGGCCACTTGTGCCCCTGCTCAGAGACTCTTGCCTTAATATATAGGAACCTCTCAGCATCATTTGCCACAGAAGCAGGGGTAATCTAGGATTTAACATATAACCTCTTTAATTATAGGAGTGAATCATTAGTTTAGCCCAGCAGCCTATGCAAAACCAGGAAATTATCTGGCTAGCCATTAAAGTTTAAGACCAATTGTTAAAAACAAAACAAGGAGTAGTGAGTTCATTATGTTGTGATGAAGTAATAAGAGCAATACCAGTGCTGTAATCTTTATCTTGTTTGGATAACTTCAAGAATGATGAAAATAATCTGAAGACTGTAGATTGTCCAAGAGGGAGAACAGCCACTTGATACAAACTCTGTCCATTAATATGTCCCATTAATTAGTTCCAAGGAAGAGAGCAGCATGTTAGTGAAATGTTTGCTGAATGGTAGCTAGACACAAGCAGTGGAACCATTTGATAGTATGCTGTTTCTTAAGAACAGTACAATAGGTGCCCTGACTATAAATGATGTGTTTGTTCATGAGGTAAATAGGTAGTACATATACGTATTTGTATGCTTTATTTCCATTACATGTGTTAAATCAACAATGTGGGGAGGGTGTGGTTCAAAGTGAGGTGACACGTTTCTATTTAACCATGCTCCCGAGATTAATGTTTCTTAACTGTCATGGCAATGGAGGTGCATGTTGCATGGATAAATGTAGTTGATCTGATTAGTCCAATAACCTGACTATCTAGAGCCATGTGGCTTTATTAGCTCTGCAGGAGAATTAGGAACATGGCCTGAAATAACATGGAACATTGTTGTCTAATTATTCAATACCTTCCAAAATTATTTACATAAATACGTAATGAAACATTTGTTGATGCAAACCTTTCGTTGGTAAATATAAATAATAGCTGTTTATACTTTCTGTTCAAGAAAGACTTTTTGTAACATAAAAAGAAAAAAAGATATTTCATTTTATAATAATAAATAAATGCAACTTTCATTGATACCTTCCTGGCCGCCCCAAGAAACACATCACTCCTCCATTTCTGAGATTGGGCTGGCACAGTCCATTTTCCAGCCACTGTATGACGTTCATAGAATTGTAGTGCTGGAAGACACCCCAAGGGCCACCTAGTCCAGCCCCATGTAATTCCCAAATCTCAACTAAAGCATCTATGACAGATGGCCATCCAACCTCTGCTTAAAAACCTCCAAAGAAGGAGGGTTCACCACCTCTTGTGGGAATCTGTTCTACTGTCAAACAGCTCTTACTGTCAGAAAGTTCTTCCCGATGTTTAGTCAGAATCTCCTTTCTTGTAACTTAAATCCATTTGTTCAAGTGGGAGAAATCAAGCCTGCTCAATCTTCCATGTGGCAGCCCCTTACATATCTCCTCTCAGTCTCTCCTTTTCCAGACTAAATATACCCAGCTCCTTCAATGGCTCCTCATAAGTCTTGGTTTACGTTGTCTTATGCAGAGTCAGACTACTGGTTTTTCTAGCTGTATTCTGACAAGCAGTGGCTTCCCAAGGTCTCCTTCACAAGCCTTTCCCATCATCATGTACCTGGCCATTTAGGTATTCAAAACGAGAGCTACCTGGACAGTAAGCTGTATGTCCCCCACATCAGTCTTCCTTTGTATAGTCTGCCCTGTAGTAGAGGCTGTTAAGTTAGTGTTATTGTGTTAGCCCAGGATATTTTGCTGCATGAAGCTGAGTCCAAATGGTGCCTCTCCTATTAGGGCTAACACTTTGCAAAGTCTTGCTGCACCATTCAGGCAGTGGATCCTGCCTGGATCTTTGACTTGCCACTACTGCCACAGTGCTGTCTGAGATAGGTTACTTCACCTTTCTGCATAACACGGCCTGCCCCTGAGCCTTCATGTTCTCCATCTCAAGAAATAAAAAATACCCCTCTCAGACTTTACTACCCATCAGGGTTTTTTTGATAACACATGTATTATATTTCAGCTATGCGTGTTTGAAGAAATGTAGCATCTTTGACAACTGTTAGTGAGGATGAAACACCTTTATATATAGATAATAACTGAGCAATGCTACAAGAGGGGGGAATTGTGTTTCCTGACAATTTTTGATGTGGATATGCAAGTGAAGTTCTAAAGAGCTCTTGTTTTCCGTTGTGATTAGTCATCACACTTTCCTTTCTCATATAAATGCAGAGGTTGAGCATTACTCATAGTACAGAAATTGGAACTGGTTTGACAGTAAATTCATCTCTCTCTCTCTCTCTCTCTATATATATTAACCAAAACTTTGTAGGTTTCTGGCAGCCATTAAATAGCATTGTCTGTATAAAAGAAAATGCATATCTAGGAGTGAGGGTAGAAGAAAATAAATCCAAATTTCTGTAAATCTTATTTATTTATCCCCTGCATTTCCAAAGTGGCAAACGATACATAGGCCTAGTTTGCATGACCCGCTATGTCTCCTTTTACATAATGGGGCCACACAGATGTGCAGGCTCCTGGAAGGGAGCTCATAGAAACTTTGCTCCCCCCCCCATCCTTTTTCTTTTTCATTTTTTTATTATTTCACACACAAAAAAGAAATATAGAAATAAACAAATATCCATCACCTCCTAGCAACTAAAAAAGAAAGAAAGGAAAAACAACAATAACAACACATTAAATAGTGCTCATAATACGTTTAACATAAAAGTGACTTTTTTTCTATATAACTGAATTCCCTTCTACTCCTTACTTCTATTTCTCATCAATTATTCACTGCCATATTATAACAGGTTTTGATATTATTTATTCTATCGGTTTTCCATCAAACTTAAAACTCCTGCTGAAGTTATTTAAATGCTGCTACAGACTTCAAACTGTCATTACTATTTTCCAGATAAATTTTAAAAACTTCCCATTTTGAGATAAATACTTCCTTTGATTTATTTTTTATTCTTTCTGATAAGTTATCTAATTCCGCATATTCAATCATTTTTTGAGTCCACTATGATCTAGAAGGGACTTCTTCGCTTTTCCAATTTGTCGCAATGAGTATTCTTGCTGCAACTGTAGCATAAGGAAAACGTTCCTTTGCTTTTTTTAGGGATATCCGAATCTGTGATTCCAAGTAGGTAAGCCTCTGGTTTTTTGCTGAAAGATATTTTAAACATTTTTCCAATCCTTTTTCCACCTAGCCATGCTGAGACTGTAGCGAGTTGTCCGAACGAGGGTTTTTGGTTAATCTCTCTCCTAACCTAATCAAGAAGAAACCATAGTTTGGCTTAATGTGTTGTGCAAATCAGGCCAATGTAAAATGTGTAATTATCTTTCCAACCCATTAGAGAACAAACATACTAAAACTCTTTAATCATAGGTGTATTTTTTCATGGAACTAGTTGTCAGCACTGAGAAATGCACATTAAATACTATTCTGGGTACTTCTACTGATTTTATGCTTTTTTAATCACATGTTCATCCTTCCTTTCCTCCAGAGGAGCTTTCAAGTGCCTCTTGTTTGTTCTCACATGTATGTAAACGTGACAGAGCGGCTCTTAAAGAGAGCCTGCAAACTTGTTGCAATATAATGTGACTCTTTCAGTAGAGAGCAATTGACTGTGTTCTCTGCTGTGGGAAAAGCTTCCATGTGCAAATCCTCTGGGGATGTGATGTTTCAGGTGACAGGACCTTTTTTAGATGCATCTAGATCAGATCTAAAATTGGCATAAAATTTGCCTTCTTAAGTTAAGAGACTTTATTGTGCCTTACCATATTTAATTTGGAATCACAGCTCAAACCTCACACTTTCTGAACTAGCACAAAAGTGCTTCTTAAGAGTTTAAGAAGGGACAGAGTGGTCATCTACTGCATTAAATTCATTGGCAATAGATTCAGGACTAAGAAAATACTTCTTCCCTTAACGCAATTCATTTACGTGGTTTCACTCAGCAGTTTCTACACATTGCACCATCTTTTGCTTATAGTATTGATATGAGTTTGTAGATGCCATACACCCATAATCATGTTGTTGTTTAGTCGTGTCCGACTCTTTGTGACCCCACGGATCAGAGCACGCCAGGCACTCCTGTCTTCCACTGCCTCCCGCAGTTTGGTCAAACTCATGCTGGTAGCTTCGAGAACACTGTCCAACCATCTCATCCTCTGTCGTCCCCTTCTCCTTGTGCCCTCCATCTTTCCCAATATCAGGGTCTTTTCCAGGGAGTCTTCTCTTCTCGTGAGGTGGCCAAAGTATTGGAGCCTCAGCTTCAGGATCTGTCCTTCCAGTGAGCACTCAGGGCTGATTTCCTTAAGAATGGATAGGTTTGATCTTGCAGTCCATGGGACTCTCAAGAGTCTCCTCCAGCACCAACCCATAATCATAGCAAGTGTTAAAAGCTAATCAAGCCAGGCTAGCTTCCTGATGAGGTAACCGCCTGGGTGATGTGCCATTAAGAGAACAAAGAAAAGAGTCCTCTCTGCCAGATGACGAATGGGTGGGGCCTCTCATCCAGTGCTTAGACAGTTGGAAGGACAAAGCCTGAGTCTTTGAAGGGAGAGTTGGCTGTGATGTGACCTAGAGGAAAAAGAAGCAGGCTGGAAAGTCAAAAGAGAAAGTCATGGCTGATTTCTGCTGGCATCCAAGGCTGTGGGACCAAGAGCCTTTTGGGGTGTTGATGCTGTGAACCCCTCCGTCGTAGGTTCAGGTTATATACGTGTGTTTAAATAAACCTTGTATCAAAAAGGTCTCTGCTGTTCCTCATTCCAAAGGAAACACAGATCCTGGGTAAGCGCCTGAACCCCCTGGAATCTTGCACTGCTCAGAGATTGGGGTGGTGTGCAACAGTACGTTCTACCTTGGCTTTCCTCCTCTGGCTATTTTTGAAGATATGCAACAAACCACAACTAAGGCTAATGTGGCAAATGTTTCAACAGGTACTGCGATGGCTGCAGGAGTCCTGTTGGAAAATGAATTACCCTACTGTTCTCTGGTATCAAGCAGTGCATATCTTGCAACCATGAGTTCAGGTAAGTGGGCTTTTCTGGGGGAGGAGTTACTTTTAGTAAATTAAAATGTGGGATAAAACAATGAAAAAAACCCAGGCTATTCTTGCAAATTGTGATGTTGAAAACCAGATATCACCCAGCCCTAGTCCCACACCCACACATAATTTGGATTTGTATATAAGGAGCAACATTGGTCTTTCCCATAGATGTTCCTGTTTGTGTTTTCCCTGCTTTTAAATTTGTTGATTCTAATCTGTTGAACCTGTGTTTTGTTTGTTTTTTTTTAAAAAAAAACCCTGCCCAAGAATTGTGTAAAAGTACGCAGTCAAGCAATTGTAAATTGGTTTCTGCAGTTTTCTGGTTTTGTGCAAGTTTAGAGATATAGATATTACCCAATGGAAGAGGTTCCCCCTGTTTCTCCTCCAATACACTTCATAGGAGGGACTAGGGTGGAAAATCAGCAGCTGCCCCAGAAGCAGTGCTGGAATAATAGCAGAATGCAACAGAGGGAGGATATTGACAATGCAGGATAACAAATGACCATTGTCATGACTTGTAATTCTGATTCATCATTTTGGCAGAGTGCTTTTAAGGTCAGTGAATTAAGAAAACAAAAGTTGCAGAATATGATTAGGCCTTTTTTCTCATGTCCGAATCTCATGTTCCTAATTGTCCAAAAAAAATAAAAATTGATCGGAGACCTGGGATAAGAACTCTTTCCACCTTGCTACTACAGGGAGCTACTTTGGATAGCACTGTGATCACTATTTGCTGTTGATTCAGCAATATCATGCCAGGTTCTGGGCACCACTAAATATTACAATTAAATGTTTTACTTTTTTTTTTAATGAGAGAGAGAGATTGTTTCGATTCTTTGGAGAAGTCTGTACCTTTTGGGCTTCTTCATTTCTTGTTTCCCCTGATTTCTGTTCCTTCAAAGAGGATGGGCAGGGGGAGAAATGACATAAGTACGAGCTCCTGAGGATTGGGCACCAGTATGACTGCTCCAGGTTATGCATGACTTCCTACACATGGCTGTGCTGAGAGGGCCATTTGGGTTGGGAAATGTATAAACTGGGGTGTAGGCAAAAAGGAAGTTGAAAGCTATGTGAACCAGTTGGCACAGCTACAAGATTTCCAGTAACTCCATTTGTGAAGTAGTCCAACACCTTTTAAAGTGAATTAAAAGACTTGTCCTGTTTTGCCATTAAATTATAGTTAAGAACCTCAGTTGGACTGAAAGAATATGAGTGACTTCTAGTGGTTTCTGGTGGAAATTTAAGGTATATTCACAGAAATTCTCTGGTGGTGCAATGTGCTGTGACAGGCATGTACTTAAGAGTGCAGTCTGTTGTGTATCTGTTTATGCATTGGGAATTCGTGGTGTAGAAATTCCTACTGGAGACTAAGTAAGCAAATGTATAAATCCATTTTTGGATTGCTGACATATTCTTTGATGATAAGTGCTCCCAGATACTGGCAGGACAGCTTTGGATTGCTTTGTTGTTCATACTATGAGGAATTATTTTACCCCTCACCTGTTTCCTTCACCCTTCAAGTAGTATCTATACATTCTTTTACAGATCTCATAAAATAGCAGGATAATTTATTTTTTTAAGAGTAGTGTTGCTTTTTATTCCTGCTGATAAAATACTTTACAGATCTTAGTGTTTCTTTAGAAAGCTTTATTTCTACACTAGCATTAAAATTCAAAGGCATGATAGTTATTTTGCTGGGGAAATGAGTGTGTTATATAATTTCTCTCCAAGAAAAGGTTAATTCCCCTTTTCATCCTTTTACATAAGGCTCTCCACGCACTTCTGCTTTTCATCTTCCAATCCGGCATGGGATGTTCGTTGACACCTTAGTCGTGATTTCTTGAATTGTATTAATTTCTGAGGGTTTTTTTTTTAAAAGAAGAAGCCTCTTCTTGTCCAGGCTGTTGAGGTCTGTACTTCAAATTCCAGAAACCTTTCCTGTTCATCGTAAACTATTTGGGAGTCCTGCTCCAGTTTGGAATGATCTGCTTCAAGTGATTCTAATCCTCATCGGCAGTGGAACAGTTTGTCCCACACAGAATCAATGTATATAGAATTCAGCTGCCAAAAGGGTAGCTGCCACTAGTGAGTTCATTGTTGGTTTCTATGGAGACAGAGCAGCCTATCCTGAACAGCTATTAGATCATACAGAAAGATGCATGTCTCTGTGCAAGTTCAGTACTGAGCAAGTCAGACTTCTCATTCAGTTTGACTTCCTACAGCATTTCTAAACTGCTCCAAGTAGTGGGTGACCATGCAAGGCTCACCCAGAAGACGCTTGACAGTGAATATTTTTAGCAACTTTTTTCAGGGCCGGAGACATTCCTCCTCTGATCCTCTTCTCCGCATACTCCAAAGGCGACGGAGCTCTGTTGTAGAGGTCCTCTCGACTTCTACGCATAGAGTTATGGTGGCCATTTCCTCTGTAAGCCCCGAGGAACTAAATGCTGCTTTCCATGAGAAAAAAAGTAAAGTATTGGCAATTTCCTTTATATAAACTGGACTTGGGTTTTATGGCAATGTGTCTAATCTTGTTCTCATAACTAATCATAGATTAAGTTCTTGACTCTTTACTTATCATTTTATACCATCATAAAAGCTTAATGTTATTTTTCATGGAATTTTAGTTGAGAAAAAAGCATTTGCTGCTTCTAGATAATGACTAACAATTACTTTATTCAGGAGCTGCTACATACAAAGACCCTTGAGAGGGAAACGTTAAGACAGAAGCCAGTTTTCAGTAAATGTTCTAATGATCCTGATTGCTTTGCCTGCTTTGAAACATATACTGCATACATTTGTTTTTATATGATTCACAAAAGTTGTATGATGAAAGATTTTACTTGGTCTTGCCTTTTGTGTTGCAGGAAGGTCCAGGCGTCCGACTGCAAAATACACAAAAGTTGGAGAACGCCTTCGCCATGTCATTCCTGGTCATATGCAGTGTTCTATGGCATGCGGTGGTCGTGCTTGCAAATATGAAAATCCAACTCGGTGGAGTGACCAAGAACAGGCTGTGAAAGGGCTTTACTCTTCCTGGTAATGTGAAGCAATTAGCTTCTACTAGAGTTCTTAAAATGTTGCTTTTAAATGTCAAAGGTTACCCAGAGTTACTTGTGAGCAAGTCCCATTGAATTCTATTGAACTTCTGGGTAAACAAGTTTAGAATCAGGCTCCACAGTCAGCGAAAGAGAACTAGTTTTATATAGATTTAGATACTTTATGTTTTAGATGTGCAGACCAGCTTAAATACAGTGCCAGTAATCATATTTTGAATGAACTACATATGTGGAACAGGTAAGGTTCCTTTTGAATTCTGTGTCTTTGACTTATGCTCAAAATGTGTATGTTAAAATTCTATTGGTAGCATTGGCTTTTGCTTTTTGTAGCATGGTTTTAATTTTAGAATTTTTTTACCACAAACCATATTTTAATTTAAATGAAATTTTAGAATTGAATAGTAAGATTTAGATGTAATGATAGCATTCCCAAGCACTAGAGTGCTATTTTATAAAGCTGTTAAAAGAACATTTTAAAGAAATGTATAGTTATTTTGTGCATGGATATAGAAATAGAAATCTGAATATTCTGTGCTATCTACATTCTTATCACAGTATCTTGCACCATAATGTAATTTTGTTACATAACGTTTTTCAGCTAGAGATAATAGACATTAAATGGTTTAAACGCACATAGTTATCTAAGGTGGCATGGTTTGTTATTAGAAAATTACAGCTGAACACCAGCTAGGAAGTATTTTAACCCATAACTGCTCACTTCTTCTCTCCCTGCTCCTTTCCAGGATAACAGATAACATTTTAGCCATGTCTCGACCATCAACAGAACTTATTGAAAAATATAATATTATCGAGCAGTTTCAAAGGTAAAAGAAACAGACTGGTAATGAATTATTGCAGCTCTTACAGCTGTAAAGCTGACCTATTATTTCTTTTCTGCGTTGGTTTGGAACTGTTCATAACAATTCTGAAGTAAGAAGGAACGTTGGTGGGGATATTGATTGTGGAAAAGCATGCACAGCTCAATAATGTGCCTTCCTTTTCTTTGCCTAAGATGTGGCATAAAAACAGTAATTAACCTTCAGCGTCCTGGAGAACACGCTAGCTGCGGGAATCCACTGGAACAAGAGAGTGGTTTCACCTACCTTCCTGAAGCTTTCATGGAGGCGGGAAGTAAGTTTGCTCCTGCTGTTGTTCCTTGTTAATTATAAAGTGTGGTGCTTACAGGCTGTTTCTGCCACCTACTTCTTGGTGGCAGCTAGCTGAGAAATGTTTGCCAAAGAAAATAACTTGCACCTAATGAGAAAGTTGAAGAAATACACAGCTCCACTATGGAGCATTATAGATACTAAATCTCATAAACAGCCATAAAATAAGCAGCTGAGAATGGATAGCTGTGTTTAGTATCTGCAGCTGTGCATTTCGCACATTGGCAAAGCAATAGATTTGCATGTGGATTTTATTGCCTCCGCTGCAATCAAAAGACTTTCTCTTCCAACGAAAAGACACTGTTGCTCATTTCGGTAAGATTGACAGCTGCTAAGAAAGTGGGGATTCTGTTACTTCCCAAAACATTATGTTACATTGTGTGTGTGTGTGTGTGTGTGTGTGTGTGTGTGTGTGCGCACACACACACACACACACACACACAGCAAAATCCTTACTTGTTACAGGTTTGATATGCCATGTTTTGTGTGAAATGCCTTGACTAATTTGCAATGTGGCATTTGCAGTTCTCATAAGACGATATACTAAAATGGAGGAAGACAAATACAGGCTAAAAATTCTGAAAAGCTTTCTTAAAACAGATCCGAATATTTTTGTTGCAATATGAATACAATGAGCTGTGTATGGTCTTTTGATAATAATGATGTTCTAAACTGTTTTTTCTAGTTTATTTTTATAACTTTGGATGGAAGGATTATGGTGTGGCTTCTCTCACTACTATCCTCGATATGGTAAAAGTGATGACTTTTGCCTTACAGGAAGGGAGAGTAGCTATTCATTGTCATGCAGGACTTGGCAGAACAGGTAAAAATGCTCAACTACAAATTCACTGAGAATGTATTGTTATAAAATGCAAAATAATGATAATTTAGATTCCTTGATTCCTTTGTAGATTCCTTGATACATTCATATAATGAAGTCTATTCTGATAGAAATGCTAGCACAACGCCCTCATTGTTTCAAAGGCTGCATGCATGCATTTTTCACAATTTTCTTCTCAGATGTGCCACACAACTCCCAAACTGGTCTTTGTGTTCAAAGGATTTGGCATGAGAGCTTTTGTAAAGGGGAAATCGGAGGTGGGGATAGCATTTCTAGAGGCACTTGCTATTTAAGAAGCTTTTGTGCCATATCCATGAAGTGCCTTTTCAACACCATCCCACTTTCCATGCTCATACTTAAAAAACCCTACGTAATTCTTTTCCAAAGTATCCCTCAAGCATAAGTGTATTCATCTAGCCCTTTTTGTAAAAAACCCAAACTGTGGTAACAGGAACAAGGCCACTCCCTCCTTCCCCTTATAGGCACCAATGCCTTGCAATTTTTGCAGATCTTTTGCTTTATTATTGTTAAGAACTGCTTTCTCATTCCTCTAAATCAGGGGAAGCACTGCTAGAAAAGCTCAGTATGTGCCTTCCCTGACCTCCATTCATCCACTAGTAAAGACCTATTTGTTTCCAAAACAATTTCCCAATTTTTTCATCTCCCGTTTTGGGTGATGATGTAATCCTTAAGTCAGTTTGTTGCCGCCTGCTCAGTGTAGATGTTTCAAGGTTGTTGGTATCTAATAATTTTTTGTTCTGGAAGCTGTTCTATGTTTCTATAGCAAATAAATGTGCAGTTCTTTATATAAATAAACAAGTATGGTGCAGTAGGGGGAAAATAATCTGGAGGAGCTCCTACAAGGCTGAATTGATTTTCATAACTGGCGGCAGCTTCGGCTAGCCTGCTCTATTGGAAGGAACATGAATCTGCATCTGTACGCTCTGTGCTATTTTGAGAATTACATTTTTGTTTTCACCTAACAAATTTAACATTTCCTTCTTCTTTTTTGTCCTTTACTTACCTTCCAGGTGTTTTAATAGCTTGTTACTTGGTTTTTGCCACACGAATGACAGCAGACCAAGCAATCCTTTTTGTCAGGGCGAAAAGGCCTAACTCTATCCAAACCAGAGGACAGCTGTTGTGCGTACGGGAGTTTTCCCAGTTCTTGATTCCTCTCAGGAATGTTTTTGCATCCTGTGAACCCAAAGCGCACGCCGTGACTCTTTCCCAGTACCTGATCCGGCAGCGGCATTTGCTCCACGGTTATGAGAGCAGGAACCTCAAGTATGTGCCAAAGCTTATTCATCTGGTTTGCAAATTGCTGTTGGACTTGGCTGAAAACCGGCACGTGATAGAGGAACTTGTGGACCTTCCAGACCTGTCCGCTGAGATTGAAGAGACCGTTTCTCAGCTAGCTTCCACGCAGCTTGATAAAGAGCTGACAAGGCAAGACAGTAGTGCTTCAGAGCCGTTTTCTCTCTCGGGAGCCAATCCTCTTCATCCCAATGAACATGAATGTGATCCTCTTTGGAAGAGGAGGAACGTTGATTGCCTTCAGCCTCTGGGTCGAGCAAAAAGGCGCCTGAGCTACAGCGACTCAGATTTGAGAAGAGCGGTCTTTGTCTGTGAGCAAGGAGAGACCCCCTGGTCGGTGCCTGTGCAAGTGCCACTCTGCAGCAAAACAAACCCACCAAACAATTGCCAGACTCTCAAGGTTGATTTAACCCAAGAACTCTTAATCCGTAGTACATTTACTTTCTCGTGTCAGGACAGGACGCCTTTAGATGGAAAAGAAGCCAATTCTCCATTTTTCCATAAAAGCAGGTATCCCGGAGAAGTGCAGCGTAGCCAAACCTTTTCTTCGGGCCTTTCGAGTGATCGGAAGGAAGAGGAGGCAGAGGAGGACGAAGAAGAGCTAAAAGCACTAAACTATAATTGTGGCAGAAAAGCTAATAGCTATGGCAAAAAAATGTGGTCCTCTGAGGACTCGGACGCTTCGAAAGCAGAGCATGAGATCCGCAATATTCGGGATCTCTGTGAATCGATCCCCCATATCGTCGTGCAGTCAGAACTAACTCTGGAGGCACGAAGAACGTTGGCAGCCAAGGCCCTGGCAGATGTGAATGAGTTTATGGGATCAGAAGAAAAAGAGCAAAAAGTGGAGATGTGGCAGGTATTTTCATTTTGTAAATGTTGCACACGTGTCTAGTTCAGGAGAGCACCTCCAGGAAGTGGGGGGGGGGGGGGAAACCCATAACATCTTTGCTTTCAGAGAGCATAAAGTCATACCAGTAAAGGCCATTCTTCCTACTGAAGCTTATGCTATCAAAAATATAAAGCTATAAAGAGAACATACTCAGGGGTGCTTACTATGCCCTACTTCATGCCCTTCAGCGATAAGACGCTGTAGCCACTAGCTTTGTTGTATTTGCTTAATCTAGGGACAATCAGGTGTTCTTGTACACATGCAATTACCGTGCAAAGCTGGGCTCTAGAACCAGACTTATGGCATCTGTAAAAAGACTACTGCTCCTCTTTCAGTTGCGGCAAAGTGAGTACTTCATCAGACGGCTGCACACTCCCCTTCAGTGCTCCTTCATAATACTTGAGCAGATATTTTGAGGAACATGGGAGTCAGCTCTTTACCAAAACACAGCCTGAAACCAAAATGGGCATGCAAGTGCAAAAGGTTTTAAGCAGTGACAAACCCTTCGATTTTTGTATGAATGTAATGCAGTCTAAGGGCAAACCTCCTGCTTATGAGTCAGCACAGGGTCCTAAACTCTCTGCTTACATTAAATCCTAAAACCAGAGCAAGGCATTTGTAAGAAAGACTCCGTTTGAAGCAGCAGGTGCTTTAACACATACCTCCCAGCCATTCCCCTCTTGCAATTGTCCTGGGCAGCGAGGTAGGGACTTGAAGGCCAGTCGTGGGCTCTTTGAATGGGGTACCCAAGAAGGTAGGGACGCAGGTGGCGCTGTGGTCTAAACCACTGAGCCTAGGGCTTGCCAATTGGAAGTTCGGCGGTTCGAATCCCCGCAACAGGGTGAGCTCCTGTTGCTCGGTCCCAGCACCTGCCAATCTAGCAGAAAGCACATCAAAGTGCAAGTAGATAAATAGGTACCACTCCGGCGGGAAGATAAATGGCGTTTCCGTGCGCTGCTCTGGTTCGCCAGAAGCGGCTTAGTGATGCTGGCCACATGACCCAGAAAAACTGCGGACAAACATCAGCTCCCTCAGCCAGTAAAGCGAGATGAGCGCCGCAACCCCAGAGTTGTTTGCGACTGGACTTAACTGTCAGGCGTCCTTTACCTTTATCTTTTACCCAAGAAGGTCAAGGGCACTGTGCCCTTGGTCTTGCATGACTTGTCTCATCCAGGTCAAGGAAGCCTACTAAGAATGCATTGGCTGAAGGAGGCCCAGATCCTGGAGCTGGCACCACAAATGCATCCAGGCGTGTTGAATCTGTTTGCTTCTAAACTGGACCCAGAAAGTGGAAGGCTTTGGGGAAACTAGTTTGACAGTCCCCAACAAATGCTCTCTGCCCCATATCCCCATTATCTTCTCTCTCTCTCTCTCTCTCTCTCTCACACACACACACACACACAGAGAGAGAGAGAGAGAGAGAGAGAGAGTGTACATAAGCTGCCTGAATGCATTGTTTTCCATACAATTGTAAATGCGTGGAGAAAGAGAGCAGGTCTGCCTCTGCTGCTCCTGTCACATTCGCAACAACCTCCCTCCCTGAAGTCCATGGTCACATAGAGTGCTAAATCACAAATGGAACAAATGCTCTTCAGACATTTCATCCTCCATGCATGTATGGCAGGCAGGGATTTGGGAATGGGACAAAATTGCCTTGCTTCCTTCCTCTGTGTCATTATACCAAAAGGGGTCTGTGTTTATAGAATTCTACCCTAACATTACTAAAGCAAAGACTATTTATAGAAAGTTGACAAGGATTTCTTTCTTTTTTATCTTTAGAAAGAACTGAATTCTCAGAATGGAGCCTGGGATAGGATATGCGGCGAGACAGATCCTTTTATCCTCAGTAGTTTGATGTGGTCCTGGATAGAGCAACTTAAAGAACCCCTTCTAACCAAAAATGATGTAGATGTGTTAGCAAAAAACAACGTAGACCCTCAAGAAGCACTTAAATTGTTAGACAAGGTAAGCATTTAATGTATTAAGGCAGTTATATACCACTTTTCAGGAAGACCTCGCAAAGCATTTTGCATAAGATGACACAAATGCGGCATACACATCTCCTTGCCTTTGGTTGCTTCCAACGTCATGATTTATTTGCACATAGTTTGCAGGGAGTTTGTGATGTCAGCTATTTATTGAGCATTCATTCTAATATGTTTGTTCAGAGGTTATACAATGTGCATAAATAGTTATCCTATACTTCCCAGTGTATTTTCCTGTCACTTTCCTTATCACAAAAAGTACAGCTTAACAAATGTACATTCACTAAGGCCTCTTCTTCCATGGTACTTGTATCTGTCCCTACATTTCTGCATACCCTCTTTCATATTATCCCAATGTGGGTTCCTTGGTTATTTATCTTTTGCATGACCCTTAAGAGTAATGTTTGCATTTCACCCCCTCCTGTGTATGTCTACACCACTATGAAAATATGTCCACCCTTCATTTTGCCTCCTATACCATGTCACTCTCTGCCTTTAAACATGTTCATGTTCTCCTTTTACTAATAGCTTTTACTTTCTTTTCTTGGTAACTTATAATGGCTAGGTGGGAGAGCCCTATAAGTGCATGCTGTATTTCATATCACTTACCCTTTTTTTGCTACCGATCTAGAGGTCTTATAAGAACTATTTTTTGTCCAGTCTACTGGGTGGCAAATGTTAGTGGGGCAGTATTTAAGAGAAATGTTCTTTTCCATGTATGCTAGTCACCTGTGCTCAGAATTTGTAAATTTTTGATGGGAAACCTTTTTGTTTGTTGCATTTGAATACATAATTCAAGTGGACATAATTTACTGCGTAGCCTATATTCAGGACTGGATTAAGATCCTTAGAGGCCCTAAGCACTTAAGAGATTTTGGTACCCCCATTTATATCTAATTAAAAATATAAACCGCAGTAAACCATAAAATAAAGTGGAACCTACAGTATGATGGAAAACAATGTTTAGTTTTCTATATTTGTATAAACAATGTTTATTTTTGTTCAGATGGTAAATCTGGCAATGGGAATTTTCTGTGGTGCCCCCCTTCCCTTGATAAGCATATGCTTATTTTGCTTTGTGGTTAATCCAGCCCTGCTTACATTTGCTATGAGTGAATACAGTTGATAAATGCCACTGACTTTAACAGGCTTAAAGGAGAGGAGCACCTGTGGCTCTGCAGATGTTCCTGGACTACAGTTTCCATCATCTCTGATCATTGGCCATGCTGGTTAGGGCTGATAGGAACTGGAATCCAGCATCCTCCAAAGGGCCATAGATTCTCCACCCTTTTATAGAGGACATTTTGTGCTTCTGCAGAAGAGGGCATTTCAGCAGGTGTAGTTTGCTCTTTCACTAGTGGAAATCACAAAGGTGAAGGAAAGAGTTCACTCTCTCTTTATAGAATCGTATAGCTTCAAGCATGCCAAATGCTGTTGGATTGTGGTCGGTACCTCCTCCACGTTGGTGTCTTTAAAATATTTCCTACCTAACAATGTCTTTCCGCTCCCCATCAGGGAAAATATCACACTATACTGTGCATTTTAAACTGCGTGGTGCAATTGCAGACCATACCAATGTACGTGGAGGACCTTCTCCTTGATCGTGCCATTAAAGCATTTACAAAGGCAAGTGGAATGTGAAATTGTGATCTTTTGTAACTCACAGACTAGCCTAGAACGCTGACCATAATTAACCTGATGGTAAACTATTTCAAACATTGCACTTCATGCAAAGAATCTGAACCAAATGTACTGTACGCTGGAACCAATTAATGTGTGGGTGCACACCTACAGAGGGCTATAGAATTCTGGTGTCAATCAGTGTCCACACGGAGCTTGTTTGCTTGCTAGAGGTGGGCACCACAAAACAAGATTTGTTTTGGACCTTGATCGGGTGATTTGGAAAGCAAACTGATTCAGCTCTGACTGCTTCAGAAGCCACCCACTTGGCCTCTGCTCCCAATTACAACCTTGCTTTGGAAGGGGAAATGAAGCTCTGTGTCTCCCTATGCTTTGAGAGATTGGTTCTTCAACACCTTAGGACATGTTTTCCACCGGATTTTGATGAACACCAGTTCGCTTATAGGAGAAATAGGTCAACAGATGATTCCATAGCCACAGCTTTTCACCTTGCAGCGAGTCATCTGGAGAGACCGGGGAATTATGTCAGAATGCTGTTTACAGTGGTACCTCGGGTTACATATGCTTCAGGTTACATACACTTCAGGTTACAGACTCCGCTAACCCAGAAATAGTGCTTCAGGTTAAGAACTTTGCTTCAGGATGAGAACAGAAATCGTGGTCTGGCGGCACAGCAGCAGTGGGAGGCCCCATTAGCTAAAGTGGTGCTCCAGGTTAAGAACAGTTTCAGGTTAAGTACGGACCTCCAGAACGAATTAAGTACTTAACCTGAGGTACCACTGTACTGATTATAGCTCGGCTTTTAATACCATCCTTCCGGACATTCTTATTAAAAAGCTGATGGACCTGGACCTTTCCCCTACCATCTGTGATTGGATTAAAGACTTTCTGAGGGATCGCACACAAATAGTGAGGACTGGACCTGTTACATCTACCTCTCTGAAGCTCAGCACTGGCACCCCACAGGGATGTGTGCTGAGTCCCTACCTGTACTCGTTGTATACATATGACTGTATTTCATCTGATCCATCCACTGAAATTATTAAGTTTGCAGATGATACCACCATAATGGGTCTAATTACAGGTGGAGATGAATTAGCGTATAGGGAGGAGGTACAGAAAGTCTCCACATGGTGCCTAGAGAACACCTTGCACCTAATTTTTAATCTTTGTTGGAAGCCGCCCAGAGTGGCTGGGGAAACCCAGCCAGATAGGTGGGGTACAAATAATAAATTATTATTATTATTATTATTATTATTATTATTATATATCAGCAAGACAAAGGAGATGGTGTTGGACTTTCGGAGGAAGAGAGGGGAACTAGCCCTGTTGTATATCGGGGGGGGGGGGCTGTGTGGAGAGAGTCTCTTCCTTTAAATTCCTGGGAGTTTACCTTAGTGAAGACCTCACTTGGAAAATCAATAAACCTAGGCGGTTAGGAAGGCCCAAAAGAGACTCCATTTCCTCAGGGTCTTGCGAAAGAACAATGTCAAACAAAAATTGATGATCTCCCATTACCGGGCCACAGTAGAAGGTGTCCTTTCATACGGTATTACGGTGTGGTATGCTGGTTTGACAGTCACGGACAGGAAGTCCCTACAGAGGGTGGTGAACACAGCCCATGGGCTGTCCCCGGAGTTTGCTAAATGACATCGCGGGAGACCGCTGCCTCAGGAGAGTGAGGAAAATTCTTAGGGACGACTCACACCCTGGCCAGCACCACTTTAATCTCCTACCTTCAGGCAGGAGATACAGAAGTATAGTCAGCCACACCAACAGGTTAAAGAACAGTTTTTATACGTGGGCTGTTGGGCTGCTGAATGGAAAAAAATAGTGGTGTGATTGACTTCCAACAAGCACACAGCGCGCGGACAAGACTGAGTGTATGTGGGGGGGCTCGTTTAATTTCACTGTACACAGGTGGTATAGTGAAAATAAAGGTTATTTATTTATTTATTCATTCACTCACTCACTCACTCACTCACTATTATGGGAGCAGTCAGGGCGGGGGGGACAATCGCAGATGTAATTACTTTTTGACAAAACTGCATCCATAGCGGTTCACAATAGATTTGAACAGCTAATTTTGCAAGCGCTGTTCTCTATTTAGCTCCTGCTACTCCATTTTATAAACTACATCTAATAGCCATTGTAGTTCAAGTGGTAAACTTCAGATATTATTCTAGTACTAGGTAAAATGAGACACTCTAAATTTGTATATGCAGGATTCTATATGTAGGATTTATATTTCATTTTCTGTAGACACCATTGTGTTTTGAATTAGACAGTACTATATTTCGATAAAGCCTCATATGTATGTGTTATAATTTTATTAACTTTAAGTTTGCTTCCGGCAGGTGAGTTCTGATTCGGAAGGTGGCTTGGACATTTACAGCATTCTGAAGAATATTTTTAAACAGATATTGGAACACCAAAGACAATACTCCAGAGACCAAACAGAAACCCTCTTTTGATGTTTACATGCTAAGCTAGTTTTCTGCAGCTTTCCAAGACTATCTTTCCTTTACCATCCATTGTTATATTTTGTATTCCTTGGTTCATGTTAACTAATAACGTTGGTTATTAAATAACCACAACTAATTCTATCTGGCTCTGTACATAAGTTAATATTTAATGAGTTGCCATTTTGTGTCTGTACTGTGGCATTTTGTATTTAATTTATTGATTTTAGAAAGTTTATCATTAATAAGCTATTTTTTTCACACTGAGCTATTGCCATAATTTCAGTGCCATGATACGCAATGGTTTATTCCGTTAAATGTTTGCATATTAACACTAAGTATACAAGATGAAGTTTACGACAATGGTATTACATTTTATTTTGTGGTGAGTAAACATTGGCTTCTATTAATGACTGTTGTACAAATGTACAGCTTTTCCTCTGTAATGCCAAAACAAACATGTAGGGAGAAATAGAAACTTGATGTGCAGCTCCAAGATAGGCAATCAATTGCTCATAGATCCTTTTTAGAAAATTGAGAATTTTGACTTTATAACACCATATAAATTTATAATTTTCACATTTGTTGGGAAAACTGAAATGTGAGACCTGTATTATAGTGTCATGGAGACCAGAAGATAAATGAAAAAAGAAAGTTATTGTTTTAAAGTCTCTTCATTTCCTACATAGATTATTGACTGGGGAGGTGGTGAGTGTTGCTCGTGACTCTTAAGAAAAAAATTGTATGTTGTGAACATACAAATCAAATCAATCAATATATCCAGAGCCTTAAAACTGGAATATTCCAAAATATCATCTCATTCAGACCTTGTTGGAGGCAGAATAAGATACGGACAGTTTTATCTGTCTTCCTAGGGTTAGATTGCTGCTTGAGATTTTGAGAAGTTCTGACACCTTTACTTAAAAGAAATATTGTTTAACAGAAGATGGATATTAACATGGACTAAAAGTTTTAAGTAATATTTTTTTAAAAAAAATTATGAAACCGGCAGATGGAAAATCAAAAGTTTTCTTTTTGCATCTTTTTCTAATGTTTCTTTCTCTTGCTCTCTCCCTCTCCTTTTTATAGTCCCATTCCGTTTTCTGTTTCCCGTCTTCGTTTCTCTTCTTTTTCTTTCTTTGGAGTCCAATGTTTGGGGGGTGGTACATGGTTGATAGAGGACCCGGGGGAAGAGATAAGAAAAGGTTGGTTCCCAGTATGAGAAGCTGGGATGAGAAAGGAAAGATCCCACGTGAGCTGGGAGGAGCTACTGAGGGTAGTAAGGACTAAGAATTACTTTTAAGAGAAGACTCTATTCTACTTATTCAATCCACCTCCAGTTTTTTGTAGTTGTAATTTGACTATATTGTGGGGAGAAATGAATAGATTTTTTTTTAAAAAAAGGAGATCATTTTGAGAAGCTTTTAAAACTGCCACTTGTGTTTCCATGCTATTTTACTTGGTGGTGGGGGTGGGGGTGTTGCTGCTGCAGTGGAATTTGCTTACCATGAAAAATCATGTGAGAAGGGTCAGCAGGCAGAGATTAAAATGGAGGGCATATTATCAGGCCTGGTGTGTTCTTATGTATCTAAATTTACCAATCAGGGACTCGAGCTCAAACACAACTGTCCTATCTGGCTGATGAAATAGCAAACAGACCCGATGGCTATGATATCCATTGCTATGATATCCATCCAGAGCAATCACTAGTGGTGAGGTGGGATTCAGTAGTCTCTGCTTGCTGTGGGTCGGAATAAGTCAATTAACTGAAGCAGTCAATTACCTCATAAGCAAATTGTATTTTTTCAACTCTTGGCTACGGTGTGTGATTCTGTGCCTTGCTAGACAGGGTGTGGGGAGGCAGGAGATAGATTGAGTTATATCTTCCCCAGGCTGGGAGGAAATGCAGATCTTCAGTTCACCACCACCACTATTATTATTATTATCATCATCAGGACTTCAAAGCAAACATCAATTGTAAGTTTCTCTGCTGGAAATACATCTAGTGACAAAAACAAACCCCTGTGTTGCAATACAGAATAACCTGTAATGGCTAATGAATATAGTAAATGTGTTATTATTAGTAGTAGAATGTCATCCAAAATGAAATGAATTGCTGGTTAGCTACACTGGTTAGTGAGTTCTGATCCACAAGTATTACATTTACCTGTATGGATATTCTATCAAAAACTATTTGCTGATGAAGATTCATCTTCGAAACAGTTGATTCAATCTGGATATACTGTCTTAGACATCATCCATTGAAAGACGTCGTGGTGTTCCCCACCAGCAATTCATTTCATTGACTACTTGGTTATGGACTGATATATATATTATTTTGAAGTTACTGAATTGTAAATTTTGGATGACATTCTACTACTAATAATAGCACATTTACTATATTCATTAGCCATGTGTTGTGGCTGTATTTGAGCAGGAAATAAATCTAGAACAGCAACTCCTGTCAGAGGCAATGTGGTAGTGCTTTTACCAGACAAAAACAGCACTGAATCTAACCCTTCATCTGTCAGCAGGCCCACTGCTGCTTTGGAAAGAGAATGCACTGTGGGAGTCAGGTGGGATTGCTATCAGAAATTATTGTCAATGGCTCAAACCCAGTCAAAGCAATGCTTTCGTTGCTGACACAATAGCTTGCTTCATTTTTCATAATTCCTCATAGCTATCCCACCTGACCCCCACAATGTACCACTAAGATATTAACAAGAAATTCATCTGGCTTTACTGAGATACTGAGGTGAATTTAAAACTGCAAATTGATCAGTGCATCCTTCCCTTGTAAAAACTTTGGCCAAATAAAAACAAACTATTGGATTGTTTGATTGGATCTGTAGTCCTTTACAGTGATTCTTACTGAAATTATGCTAAACGTCCTGGGAATATATTAAAGTTGTAACATCACTACTGCACCAGAAGAATATGAATATTGAAACAGCATTTAAATGGATCAGGGGCATTTGCAAGAAATGTGAAATAATTGTTTTCAGCACTTTTGTTGAAGCATATGAATCTGCTGAACATGAAGCACCATCAGAACGACTTTGTTAATTCCCACAGAGGTTTTCTGACAGTATTGTTAACAGTGATGCTATTAATTTTGAAAGAAGTAGTGAAAATGAACCTTAGTGAGAAGGCCTTATAACAGTGTTATTGACTTCCGGGTCAGCGCCATCGGTGACTGGCGGAGTTCCTCCGACCGGAGGAACAGGCTCCGTGGAAACTGGGTCTTCCCGCCGTGGCGAAGGTGGGGACCCGCTAGAAATCCCAGGCGGAGGAAGCCTGGGAACGTGGGGTTTGGCAGGGCACCAGGAGCGCCCCCCCACTCACCGGGAACCCCATTTTGGGGCGCTGGAGCGAAGTGGGGTGAGCGGTGCGGTGCTGCGAACTGATTGCTACTTTCACGGAGTGAAGCCGCACAGCCATTGCCGGAGAGCGCTGACTTTTTCCTGTGGACAATTGGATTTAAAACAAGTACCTGTGAGTAGAAACGGAAAATTGGATCAAGAAATATCTTAATTTGGCATCGAAGCGGGAAGGTTCAAAACAGGAAGTCCGCCTTCCGCTTTTGGTATAGAGACTAACGCAAAAACCATGGAAGCTAACGCCTGGAAAGCCATTAAAAAAGTCTAAATTTCCTTCATTTATAATTACTGAAACCCCCTTGGAAGCAGGAGAAAAGGGGGGGGACTTTGTTTAACCCCTGCAGGAGAGGGAGTGAAGAAGGATAAGTTTCTGCCGTCTCGAACCTGGGAACGGGGTGTCAGAGACAGAAATAGTTGGAGAGGTTCATTGACTGTGAATGGAATACTTTGACAGATAGCTAAAGAAGAGAAATAAACTGATTCCAATGTTGCCTTTTGCATTCTAAAGAAACAAAATATCTGAAAAATATCTGAAAAATGAAAGTAATTTTCCTTTGTTGGACTTGCCTTAAAAAAAATGGATACAAATAGAAATTGTCTCCTCTAGAGGGAGCTTGTTAAATTGTTGCTGCAGTCTACTTGAGGACTCAACAGCTGTGAGATTAAGATCGTGGGACCAGTCTTTTCTGACCTTGACTAAAGATGAGCTGGGAGGAAGTTTGGGTGCTTGCTTTATGCAAGACAAGTGCCTTGCTGGAACAGATGCACGAGAAGATGGATTTGATGAATGAGAAAATGGACTTGATGACTGTTGTGGTCAATAACTGTGGACGAACAGGGAACATTGATACAGAAACCATTCAGGGACCAACTCATGAACCTGTACTGACTGGGCAAGTGCAGAAGATAATGGAGGAGGATGCGGTTGCACCTCAAATAATACAAATGGAGAGACCCGAGGCCCTACAGGAGCATAAGCCGCTGTCATTGAAGATTGAAGTTGGAGCGGGCCAGGGGAGTCTGGAGCTGAGGAGGTTCTTAACTTTGGAGAGACCTTGAAATATGCTTTAAAATACTTTTTGGATTACATTGATGACTGTGGGGAGTGGGACTGTGGGGAATGGGTGGGTTTGATGAAGGGAGATGGAGACAATTTTGGGTTGGAATCCCCCAGAGACCTACTCCTCAATGAGAAAGGAAAGAAATTAAGAAAGAGACCAACAAAAGACAAGGAAAAGGGCAAGTATAAACAAGAAGAAGAAGATCTGCAGAAGGGACATGGAAGAGACTTAAGGGCCTCGGACATAAGACTTCCAGGTTGATGGACTAGATGGAATGGACAGTAAGGACTGACACGACCCAAGACCAGGAAGAAGAGACGTTGGATGAAGATTGGAAGAAAATTTATAAAGAAAATTTTTTATTTAGGGAATTAGCCTAAAATTAATGAATATTGGGGAAAATGTGGGAATGAAACTATATGACTCTAGCAGAAATGACATCAGGAGTCATGTATAACTGAGTATTAAGTTTTAAGCTTTAAGGTATTTTATGGTAAGATAAGGTTAAATAAATTAGGGTAATTTGAATAACAGAATATGGGGAAAGATGGAAAGGATCTGTCGAGTTAATTAATAGGTTAAATTGCGAAGATAAATTATTTAACAAAAATGGAGAAAGATGGAAAGAATTTGCTGAAATAACTAACTAAACTAGAATACAAAAAGGGAGGTGTGAGGAGGTCAATGAAACAAGCAAATGGAAGTTGAAGATATGTAATGTGGGATTTGTGTGTTTTTTCCCTTCCTTTTTTTACTTTCTTTTTTGCTGTATTGTTGTATTGGTTTTTATGTTTTGCGTTTTTTCTTTTTATGTATTGCAGTGTTGTTCTTTATTTTTTTCTCTTTTTTGTAATTCTGAAATTATTAATAAATATTATTTAAAATATATATATATATATAAAACAGTGTTATTGACCGTTGCACTCACGAATTGGAAAACAGATTCAGGGAGAGACAATTCTGTTATAATAGCAGCTTGCAAGCATTTGCTCCAGTATGGGAATGAGGATAATTTGAATCAACTATCTGAAATATTGAAACATTAGCCAGACAACTGCAAAAAGCTAGGAAACTTGAAACCCAAGCTTAAGTTGGCAAAACTCCTTATTAAAGAAATATATTTGGTACGATCTGCGGATGAGCTTGCAAAACACGAACCTGCATTTCTGGGACTTGGTCTTTTGGTCAAGACTGTGCTGGCACTTTCAAACAATAGTGCAACAGTCAAAAGCTGCTTTTCAAAGTCAGTTTCAGGCCCACAGCAATGGTCAACGCCACATGATGAATATAAGCCAATCTTGTTCTTTTAAGTTAATAAATTAAATTTGAAAATAGGGTTATAGGCAATGAAGTCCTACTCCGAGTAGACCCATTGGAACGAATGAACCTAAGTCCTGTCCATAATTTCAATAGCTTTACTTTGAGTGGGAACAGCATTGGATGTGACCGTAAACACTGAGAAGTTTGTGTTTCCATGGTTTGGCAATGACAGACCACAATTCTCAAAGGTCTTCTGCAAAAGTGTGAAACTGTTGAGTTTATGTTGCTATGGAGCTGCTGTGACATGCCTCTGGAAAGGCCTTCAGTGCCATTCTAGAACTTAAATGAGAATGCTGCTAGAAGAGAAGGCAAGTTGAGGCTCTGTTCTTTTGAGTGCAGCCATGTCATGGAGGCATTAGCACAGGTGCTTTCATGTTCGGTGTGCTTAGAGTTGTTCACTCCCCCCGTGCTGGTCCTATCCTGTGCTCACAATTTCTGCAAGAAGTGCCTGGAGAAGATCCTCATCAGCCAGAACTGTAGCCATGTCAATGGACAGTTCTCCTGCCCAATGTGCAGAAAAGTAAGTTAGAGAGAGCTTTGTTTTGCCTTCTGCAATCTGCTTACAGATTGCCCTCTCCGATAGTACGAGTGGGTTTCCAACTGCCCACATTCACGCTACAAGATAACGGCGAAATAGTAAAGCAGAAGCCGGCAGTCAGAAGTATAGCAACTGGGCAGACATATAGAGCAGTAGCACTATCGCAAGAAACATACAGCCTCTGCAGATAGCGACATTCCTCATGTAGCAGTTCTAGAGCTGCAGTATAAACTCGGTGCAAGCTCACAGGGATCTGTATGACTTTTTCATTCCTAATGGGTTGTGTTCAGTGTTCAGTGCAGTGTGCCTGTGTGCAGTGCTCAGACAAGGGGGATTCCATGCGCCTCTCCACCTCACTTCAGCCCCCTGCATGACCTGTGGGAGCAGGAATTGGAGAATATTGGGCATGAAGAAGCTTTTTGTGGTAACAGCAAGAGCCACTGTAGGGAGCAGGGGACAGGGGACCCCCCTTGGGCATATGCTGCAGTGGATACAACCCAACATTTACAAATTGCATGTACAAAATATATAACCACAGGCAAGAAAGGACCAAAAATTGAATCACATTTATCTCCCCACTTTGCATGCCCAACAAGCTTGTTTTAACTATAGTGGTACCTCTGATTAAGAACTTAATTTGTTCCAGAGGTCCGTTCTTAACCTGAAACTGTTCTTAACCTGAGGCACCACTTTAGCTAATGGGGCCTCCAACTGCTGCCACGCGATTTCTGTTCTCATCCTGAGGTAAAGTTCTTAACCCGAGGTACTACTTTCAGGTTAGTGGAGTCTGTAACCCGAACTGTTTGTAACCTGAGGTGTTTGTAACCCGAGGTACCACTGTAATACATACGCCAATGGCCACATTTTAACATTACATTATAAAAATCTATCATTCAAATAGTCTATTTGAAAATGACCACATTTCATGACAAACTGGAATTGCCCTTAATTGGCCCAGTTGAGAGTGTGTCATTACTCCCTACCTTGTTCCCTATCATGGCATAAAATATTTTGTGTAGCCGCTCCTGTAAAGATGGAACTTCACTTGGTTTTCCTGTGTTTTGCAATTTCTATTATTGCTCCCACTATCATGTAGATCAGGAGTTTATCTCTATTACCTTTAAATTGACATCTCCAATCATTTATAAGGAACATTTTAGCTCACAAGAATTGGCAACCCAGAAGGAAACACATACAGTAGTACTAAAAAGAAACTGATATGCATACCGCATAGTTGCAGCATTTAATTTACCTTCACATTATGTTGATCGATAGAAAATCCGGGTACAGAACAATTACGTCATTTCCCCACATTAAACCTTCGAAGCAAAATGTTACAGGATGCGTTTGATGATTTCATCTCACTTTCAGATCATACCCTTGAGAGGGAGAGGAATCATTGGCTTGCCAAGAAATATTCTGGTGGAGAGTATTTTGGAAAAATATAAGTATGAGCTTGAAAATGTGCATGCCAAAGAACAAGACCAATTGTCCCAGATATGTGAAGAACATGGAGAGCGTATGAATTTGGTATAACTCCACCACTCCTTTTTTTCTATTCCTTAATGAAACTAACTTAACTGCAGTGCTTTACTTTATTTTCAGTTGTTAATTTGGAATATGTATAAACTGCTAAACATTGCAAAATACCACACCAGTATATAACAATAGCAACACATCAGATGAAAAGAGAAAAGCAATTCTCTAAAGAGAAATCTGAGGCTGGCTGATTAAAAGGCACATTTACTTCAGGGCAAACTCAAGACATTCTGCTGCCTGAGGCAAAAGACATTATGGCGCCTTACAATTTTACAGAAGAGAAGCTGACTGTCGGGGCACAGCTGGGCCTGTCAGCATTGTCCCCCAGCTTCTGCTGCCTGAGACAGTCACCACACTCTAATAGTGGGGCTCAGCCCTGATTAACTGCCCTGATTAAGTGAGGGCTCTCCCCCTGCCCCTTCCAATATGATGGAAATTTATATGATCCTCTAGATTGGGTAAGAGTAAGACACTATGCAAAACGTGTCAGGCTGGGGAAAGTGTTCTCTGCTGAACATCATCCAGGCACCAAGGAATTGCTTCAGTTCTGGTCTATTGCATTTATGCAGCTAACATAGCCACCGCTTTTTCAAGTTATGTCTTGAAGTTATGCAAGCATTGTGCCATGTTGCACCTGTTGGGTACTCCTTGTGACACCACAGCTCCTCCTGACTGTGCCCACACACAGTTTGGTGACCTTTTAAAAAGGTGTCCTTGTTCCTTTAGAGGTCAAATGCCTTTGTCGCACCCAGGTACAAGACCAGATCCTAATCAACACATTTAATGGAAAAAAAGGGGAAAGCAGCAAGCACCAGCGTTATCTGCATCCCCTTCCCTCACAGCAAGTCACCTCATTTAACAATTGATTTGAGGAAAAAAAGAAGAGAGGGTTGTATTCAGCTAAGCCATAATCAGAGTAGACCCAATGAAATCAATGGACCTGGCAAATTTAAATCCCTTTATTTCAACGGGTCTTTTCTCAATATGACTTGGTTGGAGACAGCTCTTTATTTGAACTATATGTGCTTCCATGTTCAAACATGGAAGGTCATTTGTGCTTTAAAAATAATAATAGGTATCTTCCTGCAGCAAGATTACAGGATATAATTCAGTGAATACTAGACTGGTGCAAGAGTAAATGAAAATAAAATATGAGTCTTTTTAATTTTAACAACAGAAACAAAAGAAAGCTCCATTAAGTTCAATAGGACTTATTCCCAGGTTAGTATAAGGATTGCAGCCTAAGATACAGTTAGCTGACAGCTCTGAGGCAATGTCTTTTTTAGATGCTTAAAAAGTGGTGTACATTTTTTGCTGTGCTGGACAATGACATGACATATGTTGCCCATTCTCATCCAGGTATGCCTGACTGATGATAAGCCGATATGCGCCATCTGCAAACTCTTTGGAGAGCATGAGTCCCACAATGTAGCAAAACTGTCTGAAGTTTACTCAGAGAGGAAAAAGAGATTGATCAAAGATTTAGATTGGGTAAACCAACAATCTGAACATGCTGAACAAGCTAAGAAGGTGCAGTAAAAGAAGCTTGATATATATTTTTTTAAATCTCACCATTAACAAAAACAATTTTTAATTTTCATGCTTAGTGGGGTTTTTTCTTTACATTTCCAACAAGGCAATAATTTGATAGTCTTTCTGGTTTGGCCCTGACTTATAGGACTTTCAGTGTTAGCTACAGCTAGTATGCTATTTGTTCTTTTCCAAAAGGTCACACTTTTAACGTCTCTGAATGGATACTCATCACAGATACCAGGTTAACAAGTTAATTTTAGTGTGCTGGGTAAAATTGCCCTATTTATAAGAACAGATTTTAATCTGTTCATAAGAGAGAGGTTACCTTCAAAGACATCACATGTAGTAGTCTATCCAGAGTATAGGTAAATGTGGCCAGGATTTCTCTAAGGCCACAAGTAGGTTATTGGCCTAGGTTGATGGAAAGCCATGGCTGCCACCTGGCCATTTAGAGCAATGACCAGAACTAACACCACCCCTGTGAATTTGATCCTAATTGGGGTTGGGTGTGTTGTCATATCCACATAGTGCTCCTTTTGTGTCTGGACTGAGATTCACTTGTAGCCCTCACCCAGTCCAGTGCTGACCTATTTTCGGAACTCCCAGTGCCGCATCCATGTCCACTGAAAACTGGCCATTGAAAGAACTTGGCAACACCATTTAGTGCCCGAGCTTGCTAGTTTTTGTCTCCCCTCTCCAACCTCTCTGTGTCATGTCTTTTTAGTCTGTAGGCCTGGGGGCAGAGACCGTGCTATTCTGTTTTTCAAAATTGATTAGCAATCTGGAAACTTTTCCAGCTGAAGAGTGAGGGAAACATCTTTTGAATGAAAGAATGAATGGAATTGACTACAACTCTTCAGATTAGTTAGGAGAGGAGGAACTGGTGAAACTGGATGTAGAAGAAACTGGGTGTCTTGTTTGTGAAACTACGAACAATATGATTACATGACCATATTGTTCTAGCACTAGGGGCAATGTACATTACCACATTTGTGGTTTACTTTGGGCCAGAAAAGTGATGTTACCCCCCCCTTCAGATATAGTGTCATAGCGCCTTCATTAAAAGCCATTTGGAGTTTTGTTATGGCAAAATATCAACCCATGAGAAAGGTAATTGCTTTGCTGCTGCCCCCTTACCTCAGACCACCCCATGGGAGAGAAGCAAAACAGCAGTATCTGCAAAGCTAGGAGGCTCGAAGCAAAAACCAAACCAAACTGGCAAGGCAGCAATGTCACTGCCAGGCAACACCTTGGGGACATAGAAGTCAACTCATTGAGTGTTACAAGGGAAGGGGATAAATAAAAGCTCTGGGACACTTGGACAGCTGTCAGGAAACACAAGCCAAGTCCCTTTCTGGATTTTCTTGGGACTGGATATGAATAGGGATTGGTGGGTGAGGCATACATCTCACTGGCCCAGCCCTGCGAGTCCAGGGATTCTTCCTCGAAGGCAGCAAAACACACTTCTTCTCTTCATCTTCTCTGACTATTCTGGTCTTTGAGTTAGAGGACAATAACAGCGGCATAAAGTTAAGATTTCTCAAATATTGGCAACTTTTCTTTCTCCTTTTGTGAAGATGTTATACATTTTCTGCCACCGTATGCCATTCCCATATATATGGGCAACCACATAGGCAGACTGCACAAAGTCACAGTTGACTGTAGGTGGCTAGAGAGTACAATTTCTCAGCTAACTCGTGATTGTTTTGTTAAAGAACAGCATGCTGCCTTTTCTTTTTTATTTTTTTTATTCAAAGTTATAACAAAACATATTTTCCAAAAACATATCCTTATTCCCCCCCATTTTTCCTCCCCCCACAACCCCCCCCCCACGTCACCCCCCAACTTCCCTCAGTTCCAGTCTTTGGTTTCTCCAATAATGCTATTTTCTGCATGTTACAGAGTTGTATAGATCCTCCAACTGTTTAGCTAATTATTATCAGTAAAAAATTGTGGATGTTTATTCAAAACCTGCCAAGGAGTCCAGTTCACTTTGTTGCGTCTTCAAATACTTTGTGAAAGGTTCCCATTCATCCTTAAAGTCACAGTTATCCTTGTCCCGTAGCTTATATGTCAATTTTGCCAGTTCTGCATAATCCATCAATTTTTCTTGCCATGATTCTTTAGTTGGGATTTCTTCTGTCTTCCATCCTTGTGCTACCAGAACTCTCACGGCTGTTGTCGCATACATGAAGATGTTTTTCAACTTTTTTGGCAGGTCTTTCCCTACAATCCCCAACAAAAATGCCTCGGGTTTTTAAACAAATGTTAAATGGAACATTTTCTTCAGTTCATTGTATATCATTTCCCAAAATTTTTTAATTACTTTACAATCCCACCACATATGATAAAATGTTCCTTCCTTTTCCTTACACTTCCAACATATGTTTGAGCTAGTTTTGTACATTTTCCCTAGCTGCACTGGTGTTGTATACCATCTGTACATAATCTTCATGTAGTTCTCCTTCAGTAGTGAACAATCTGTAAATTTTAAGTCAGTTTTCCATAATTTAACCCAATCCTCCATCATAATATTGTGACCTACATCTTGTGCCCATTTAATCATAACTGATTTTACCTCTTCATCTTTCATCTCCCATTCTAATAGTATGCTATATGCGGCCTTCAATAATTTCACTTTCCCTTCAATCACTTCCGTTTGAAACCTAGATCTAGTATAACTAAATCCTTTCTTACAGTCTTCTTTATATGTTTCATGTAATTGTCGATAATGCAACCAACTCTGAAAGTGGTCTTTGATCTCATCATAATCTCTTAATTTCCATTTCCCATCATGTTCCTTTAATAAATCAGCATATGTGAGCCATTTTCCTTTCTTTCCAAGTGGTTTGAGCAGTAATGCTTCATGTGGTGAAAGCCACCACGGAGTCTTTTGTTCCAATAAGTCTTTATATCTCTCCCATACTCTCATTAATGATTTCCTGGTTATATGGTTGTAAAAGCTTCTATTAATCTTCCCTTTCCTGTACCATAAGTATGCATGCCAACCAAATCTGTTGTCATGTCCTTCTAGTTCTAGTGCCTCTTGCTTGTCCAATCTCATCCAGTCCCTGATCCATACCAAACAAGCAGATTCGTAATACAATTTAAGGTCTGGGAGGGCAAACCCGCCTCTATCTTTTACATCTGTAAGTATTTTATGTTTTATCCTTGGCCTTTTGCCCCCCCAGATAAATCTTAAAATCTCTTTCTGCCATTGTTTAAAGCATTCATCTTTCAGGATGACTGGTATTGATTGAAAAAGAAATAGCATTTTAGGCAACACATTCATTTTAATCGCTGATATTTTTCCTAACATTGAGAGATTCATTCTGCTCCATATTTCTAAATTTCTTTTTACCTCAAGCCAATTTTTTTCATAGTTATTTTTAAATAGGTTTATATTTCTTGATGTTAACCAAATCCCTAAATATTTAACCTTTTTGTGGACTTCAGTAGCAGAATTTGAGTGCACAGTCTTTTAGAGACTCATAGATGCCTCCAGAAAAGATTATGCTATTATATCCTCGATAGAAGCCATAGGGTTTTCTTTGCAATGTATCTGGGGATTACCATTTACCAATAATTGCTTTGAATAATGAAGCTGAAGTAGTTTTTAAAATGTTTAAATTGTACTTTCTGGGCATTACTAAGAAATTCTATATCATACTTCAACAGGAAATTGAAATGCTGATCAATGAACTTACGGATACTGCTGCTGAAGTCAAGGTTGTTATCGATGCCACTGGAGCAGGCTTACTGAAAGGGATCCGGCGGAGAATGACTGAACTCAAAGCAATATTAGGCAAAGAGTATTCTGTGAAAGTAGAAAACCTTCAGCAGCTGGCAAATGAGCTTGAAGTCCCAAGAAACCTTTATCGAGAAATGAAAACTCTCTTGGAACAGCATTCCAATTCAGTGCATTTTCTCCAAGAGGATAAAATACTCAGAAGCAAGATAGAGAAACTTGCAAAAGGAAATTCCTTATACCCAAACAAAAAAGATTATCATATTTCCGTTGGGCAATATTTTAAAGATTTGATCAAAGCCACCCATATCAACAACTATGTCTCCTCTAATTCCGATGAAACACCTACAAGGTCAGATGAGCTCCCTGATGTGTTCAGGCCAGAATGTCCCACATTTTCTTTTTCTGATGAAATGTCTAATGAGTCCTTCTACGAAAAATTAATGGATTTTTTCCAAAAAGCAAACGAAACAAAGCAAGATCTTAATCAAAATGCCTCCCATAGGGATAACAATAGTACACCAAATAGGAATGACATCTAATTGGAAACAGAATCAATATCAAGGCAAGCCATGGAATAGGTAAAGCTTTAGAAACAAGACCTCCAAGAGCAAAATAATTTATTAAAAAAAGAAACAGAAACAAATGTTCTTCTAATCGATTTTCACTACTCATTAGCAAATAAAATATTTATAGATGCAACCACATGGCATGGCATTTGACACATATTGTGTTGGGCCCTGCTAATTAATCATCATCACCCTTACATAATTATTTGAAAGTTTGGAAAAAAAGGTCACTGGTAAAATTCAAGAGGAGGATACCACAATGCTTAAATAATGGCTACAGGATTGTACTTTTAATATTGCTGTCATCTGGCCTCACTAACTTGTAGACTAATTGTTAGAAACCCAAACTCTCTACAACTCCAGTTTACTTTGCTTAGAAGAACCTTCCATAGCCAGGACTATGACCTTGAAGCTTCCAGAAAACTGATAGACAGATTGACAGATAAATTTGAGTAAAGAGAATTCATTTCACATATGCTTTAGGACATTTCCACACAAGACTCAGTGTGATCTTAACGTGGAATGCAAAGTGGAAGAGATGTTCAAAATTAAAATATACGTTTGGGTCAGGATAGACTTTTTATTCTCACCACAAAGTGATTAAATACTCATCATTAGCAGCAACTGTAGAATGCCAGATAAAATCAACTCCAAAAGAAACAGACAAGTCAGTCATATGCTGCAACATCATTTGCAGCATATGCACCACACAACATTTTCAGCGTTTCAACATTTGCTGCCTATCTCCCTTTGGGTGATCTGAGGCAACAAAATGGTTTTCTGTTAGTGAGTTTACGTCTTCAGTGAGACAGATGTAGTGATTTACTGGTGAAGGGAACATTGAAATTGTAGTGAGCCAACTCATTATTGTCTCAAACATATGGTGCCAAGGTTTTCAGGTGCAAATGACACATTTTGAGGCATAGCTGCAGTCACAAAAATGTCACTGATGGTTATTCTTACAGATGTCCTGTATTTCACAAAATGAAACCACAATTTGAAAAACTGAAGTATTTCTGAGCATTGTATGAAAAACATTTGGTCTTAGTTCTTTCTTAACCACAGCATAATAATTTTCGGGGGAGGAGAGGGACTGTTTTTGTGTGTGCACAATTGTACACATCAGATATAGCATATATATTTCGTAAATCAAGCTTTGTTTTATTTGTGTCTTCCAGAGCTGGGTCTCCTTTTCAAATACATGAATGCTGCAGACATCCATAAATTAATTTTCCATTCAAAATGCAATTTATATTTTCTTGATTACTACTTGCATGCATCTCAAAACTAGAAGTTGTGGTTTATATGCAAGTGTGTTATTCATGAAAAATATGCTGGTCATGATAAAACACAACTCTTATTTCCAAAGTGTGGCAGAATGAATGGAAGTTACTGTTGACAGTAAACCTGATCTTTTAGCTAGCATTTTATACTTAAAGCTGAAAAGCCTAGTTATAAATCCTACCTTATCTATGGCAATGGACACATCATTGGCTTGGTTCTTAATATACCTTCTATGAATGTAACACAGTTCATGTTCACAGAACAGAACTTTCCCCTTCTGACCCTTACTGTTGCAGCCCCCTGCACCGCCCTGCCCCGATTCCTCCCCAACCAGATCCTGGGGATCCAAGCCATTCTTCCACTTCAATTCTCCACCCTCTACAACAGAGTACTGATCTACTTCACTAGACTGCTGCAAGGCTGAAAGATCTATGGATTTCAAGAAGAGCAATGGAAAAATATCAAAATTACAGAGATGTTTAGGTAGCAGTAGTGTGGCCTGGGGCATGAAAATACTCGATTGAGAGGATTAAAATGATATAGGGTTTCTTCCTTTTTGAAAAAGAATCCTTGGTCCTCTATGTGTAAAGTGATCACCTGAGAGATTATGACAAACATTGCTGCAACAGCTGCAAAACAACTGTAAAGTGCTTGTTAAGCAATTAGTCATAACAGTGGCAAGTATCCATATTGAGAGAGAGAGAGAGAGAGAGAGAGAGAGAGAGAGAGAGAGAGTAGCCTAGGTTTTGGACAATCCACTCTGCCAGAACAGCAGATTCCATGTCTTAATCTGTGTTCTGCTGTGTTAGTACAGTACTTAGTCTGCTGTTTGATAAAAAACGAACCAAGCACTTTTAAAAACAACTTATTTCAAATATTTATTTTTAAATTACTGACAGTTCAGTAAAACCCCTTAAATTATATGAGCAACTATATTTTAGAACGAAAGCATTACTACTGCAGATTACTTTATGACTGGGCAAGGTACAGAACAATGGCGTATATACAACAGAAATAGAGGTTCTATTAATTCAATAGTGACTAATTGTCACTCCTTGTTGAGTCAGATTCCATTCATCTATTGATAGGCTCAAACTAATATATTCAGTGAACAAAAATATTCCACTTCAAAAATATATTGTTACCTGTTACTCTATTAAAAATTCTTTTTCTCTAGTTCAGCATGTGCTATGGCTACAGGAAACCATTTTCCTATTGTACCAATTTGTCACCAGTGCTATAATTTCATAACCAAAAGATAATTTGGCTTATACTAACGTGAAGTAAAATGATATTGCTTAGTATATAAAGCATTATCTCTTCTCATTCTGGCAAGGGAGTTTACAGGGGCATTTATTTCGTCTTAAATATATATCTCCAAAATTAGGTGCAAATGAGAATATTTCTGCTTGTAGGTGTTTATAGTTCTTATTAGGGTAAGGTTCAAGTTTGAAGTCTGAATCAGAATCATTCAGCTGAAATGACCAGAACATAGCTGTCAACCTTTCCCTTTTCTTGCGAGGAATCCTATTAGGAATAAGGGAATTTCTCTTTAAAAAAGGGAAATGTTGACAGCTATGGACCAGAAGCTCATCACATCTAACCCAACTGATCCAAGCCATGATCCTTAATGAACAAGCTCTTCTCTACATGCATGCATAATACATGCAGCTACACACCTCTTCAGCAATATGGGACTCATGCTCCCTCTTGTGATAGAAAACAGAACTGAAGTTGCACTACCTTGCTTTCCAACAATTCAGAGTACTGTAGTTTAACCCACTCCTGCACTGACACAGCAGTTCATATCATGAAATGGTCCCAGCAGGGACACAAGAGTGTGGCTTACGCATTTGAACCAGTCCAGAGTCTCACCCAAGGCACAAGAATGAAGGTAACAATTTGTATTAAATTATCTCAGGAGCGGGTATGGTTAGGTAGCCATACTCCTTGCTCTTTGGTTAACCGATTTAGATGATTGCCCAACTACTTGATCTGAGGAGGCAGACCTCACACCTACTGTGGATCACAGAGCCCTCATACTAGTTTTGTTCTCTCTTGCCTTGTATGCTACCCCTAGGAGTTATTTCAGAGAAGTTCGTTTTGCCTGCTGATTCTTGCATCTATCCTCAAGGGTTAAGGCTATTAATATATGTTAAAAGATGCTGAGAACAGTAAATCATCCTGAAGTTCTCGGTGTTTACATAAGTGGCCTTTTTAATGTCTCTTTCTTGTCTGGTCCATGTCTTGGCCTGAGCTCAAATCCAGTCCTAGTCCTAAACTAAATCCTGCTGTCAATCCAATGTTTTCTGTTCCCGATTCCATATTCTTTTCTGCAATTCTCAGCAACTCTGTTCTCTCAGCAATTCTGCAGTAGTGAGCCAACACCTTATAATCAATAACAGAAAATGCCACAGAACTGCTGGTAAGATTGATGGGGCACATTGAGCTTCGCATGGAAATGACATGACAATTGCAGTTCAGCTCTCCATAATGAGATAAAAAAACCCAGGCTGCAAGGTTTCACTTTAACGACTAATTAACTTAAAGCAGAGGGAAAACGGAAGTTAATATATGGGGTGGAGGAGTGCACTTTACAAAAAAGGGGGAAGGAGGTAAATCAAGGAAGCCCAACCACAATAGCTTGTGTTCCCTCATGTGAACTTCTGCTTCCTTGCCCACAACATGTGCTAAAGCAATATTGGTATTTCATGAGGTTGCAGTCAAAATCCCATACTCTGAGAAGTGAGCTTGGAACTAAGAAATAATGTTGGTTTCTTTTGCCCTTAACTGTTGCATGAAGTAGAGCACTGGCAGGAAGCATGAAATATAAAGCGCAAAAGTCATGCAGTTTGAGGATGGGAAGAGCACCAACTTTTAGACTAACCATGAGAATTGAGCCCATAAATGTGGTACACCCTGCATATGCAGAGTGTCTTTACAATTTCTGAATTTGCCATGTATTAGGTAAGCTGTAGGTGGTGCTGTATATCTTTTAAATATCAGGTGGAAAGAATGGACACAACAGAAATCCTCCTCAAAATGTATCACGTATGAAAGTGCAAAGTATTTTCTGCTGATTGCTCTCCCGCAATACACTGGCAGAGCTGGCACCCTCCCCACCCCTTGCCATTGCCTTACAGATTAGGCAAGTGGAAGAGAGTTTATCCTTAGGCAAGTTACAGCAGAAGAGATGGGAAAACCAGACGCTGTTGGCCTGCAACCCTCATCACCTCTGACCATTTAGATTCCTCACTGACGGCAGCCTAAGCATCTTGCACTACCCGAAAGGCTAACAAATTTAAAGCTGCATCCCTTCACTGCACTTCTGAGGAAACATGCATAGGGTCGTGTCTATTAACGATGCCCTGGTCAGGGCTCCAGGAGACTCCTCGGCTGCTTCTAACTCCTCCTCAGCACAGCCGGCTGCCAGCAGCCTTTGTCAGAGTGAGACCAAAGCCGCGGCAGCTATCAATTCTGGCGCCCGCAGACTTGAGAGGAAGGTGGGCGGGTTTTAGCTCCGAGGAAGGACGCAGAGAGGACGGCGAGGAGGCAGTACGTGACTCGCCGGCCAGCCCTCGTTCCCTCCGAGTGGGCAAAGCCGAGGGCGCTCTCCCATTAGGAGAGGGCGGAGCAGGGGCCGAGGAATTTGAGCACCAACCAGGTAGGGTAGGCTGACACAGGAGCCCGCACTCCTCCAATCAGAAGACACGATCTTGCACTAGGGCAGGGCCACGGGCTGCGTGCTCCAATGACAGCGAGCAAGCGTGGGTGACGGACGGGTCACGCTCCTTCCCTTAACTCGGCACACGCCGCGGGGGCGGAGTTTTTCCATTCTTCCGAGGTGGGGGGCGGCGGCGTCATCAGTCTTTTCTCCCGTGATCCACTGCGGGGAAAGGCGGTAGCGCTGCTGCAGGAGCAGCACCATCGACGGCGGTTCTTCCATCCGGGTCTTGGGTGGCGCTGGGTCATCCTTCTGCAGGTACCGGTGTGTGTGTGTGAGAGAGAGATGGGGGAACAAGGGAGGGAGCGCTGAGGGAAGAAGCAGCAGCGGTCCTTCCATTGAGGGAGCCGGCGCTGTTCCGGTGCGCGCGGGAGAGGGAAGAGCCCCTTAGGTTACCCCCGAGCTCCCGGCTACGGAGGAGCGGGGCAGAACCTCCGCTTTCCCTCTTCGCGTTCCAGTCACAGATCCTCTCCGCCGCCTCCTTCCCCCTCAGCTTCTCTAGCCCGCTTCCCCGCTCTCTTCCATTCTCTCTCCCCCTCTACCCCTCCCATTGCCGCCGCGCCTTCCCTGACAAACCTGAGGCTCCGGGAAACCCCGCCCACTAAGCGACCGCCGATTGGCTGCTCGGCAGTCACCCTCCGTTGCTGTTGGCCGAGGGCGCTTGGCTTGTACGCATCGCGTCACTTCCCGTAGCAAGTTCGCGGTGGGCAAGAGAGAGAGAGAGAGACCTTGGCTTGTGTGAGGGCGGGATGGAAGGGAAGAGAGAAAGTGGGTGGGGCGCGAGGTGATGCTGCGGCGGGGACTCCCGAGTAAGATGGGGGAAAGCCCCGCCCCGTCTCTCTCCCTCTCGGCACCCCTTTTTCCCGCCTACTGCCGGCCGAAAACCGTCGCTGCTTCCTTCTCGCGCTCATCCTCCTGCGCCCCCCCCGCCGCCGCTTCAACGTTCCCTCCCTCCCTCCCATTGGCTGGAACGTTGGGCCCCGAGAGCCCCTGGGCGAAGAAAGGCCTGCGAGGCGGGGCGCCCTCCCCCCCCCCGGGCATTCTACGGTGGACGGGAGGGAGGGAGGCAGGCAGGGGAGGAGGAGCAGGAGGTGGGCTGTTTCTTGGCAAGCGGCTCCCTTACCACGAGGCGCGCCGCCTCTCCTTCCCGCGCGTTCTCCTCCCTCCCTTGTGCCTGGCATCGCAAGCTGAGGGAAAGGATCGTGCGCCCGCCGGCTTACCTCCGAGTAAACCGCCGGCCTAGGGGCTCAGTAGGTCTTCCTGCGGCATCAAATGCCCGTTCTGAGACTGGCAGCAGAGTAGGGCGGGACTGCGGGGTGGTCTGCATGTCCTTGGGGGCTGGAAGGCTGCATTAACTTTGTATTGTATGTATGTTAACTTTGGAAATCGGGGAAGGTGAGTGGCTTTCCCATGCTGTGGCCGCTGACTCTTTTTGTTTTACCACCGAGTTGCTGATGGGAGGGAGAAAGGGTAGGACGGTTTTGGAAGGTGGCACCTCTGGCACAGCTTAATCCTCAAATTCCCAATTTTAGATAGTGGCTTATGGCAGTTAGAGCTACATGTTCCAAAGCTTCAGACCTCTTTAGGATATGGGGTGGATGTGTTTTGTCCCTTGCAGTTCTGCTGCTGGGCTGCGTTCCTTGTTATATCCCATTTGTGGGTAGGTAGAAAGGTTGCAAAGCGACTCGTTTGCTTTCTCTGGCAAAACATAAATTGCATTGGTAGGAAAATATGATCATATAGATTGACAGTCTGTAATAATATCTGCTTCTTTACAGTTGAGGAAGGAGAAACATTAGCGTCAGATGTGGTGACTGGACTTGGCATTGAAGATGATAAAGGAAAGTACTTGGAAACAGTTTTATGGGGTTTGTAAATCCTTGGGGGTAGTTGGTTTGTTAAGCAGTTTGCTGAACTTCTCCAGCTGTCTTGTGTGTGGGAAAGTGGGAAGACAGAAAGCACAAAGTTTCAGAAGAAGGGAAGGAAGCTCAGAGATGATAGACTTCAGGAAACAACTGCCTTCTGGGATACTTGAATAAACATACTGTAGATTGTTAGAAGCAATTTATTTCTTTAGAATTTGATATATATTTAGTTGATAAAATTGTTATTACCAAATTACATTTCATTGATGGACATTAATCAGTTGAAAGTGTAATCTGTGCTTAACGTTAGGTCAGATAAAATTGAGTTTATGAATAGCATTGATAAACAGTATAGAGGAGCTAGTGATATATCTTTTATATACTTGATGCATTTTGTAGTACAGTCCTCCACCAACCTGATGTTCTCCATGTGTTCCAACTGTAACAGCTATAACTCATTGTCCCTGACTAATGAGTGTGCTGTTTGGGGGCAATGTGCATTGAGAGTCCAAAAAATCTTGAAGGACACTGGGCTGGGGAAGGCTGCTGTAGTGCTACACTGCAGTAAAATTTGGATTTTGCTAAGATGCAAGTGCTGATCTATGTAAACATAATAAAATTGGCTTTGATTCAGTTTTAGAACTTGCAAAACTGAATATAGGGTGCTTGACACAATTCCATCTCTGACTAAGCAGGGTTGGAACTGACAAGAAGCTAAACAGAAGACTGGAGAATAAAGTTTGTATAGCAGCTTTCACAGTAGTGGTTGGATCATTAAATTATGTGTGTTTCAAGAAATAATAAACTAGTGCAAAGCTGGGTAAAACTTTGCAAGGCAAACTAGGGCCAAATGGTTACTTTTCATTTTAACGTGAATTAATTAATGTGAGTTGGGTTTGGTCCAGACTTTGGGCATCTGCCTGAGAACTCGTAGATTATGACACCAGTGCTGCATCCACTGTTTCTCCCAGCCTGGTTCTTACTGCTGTTACATTTCTTGGAGAAACACATTAGGGTATTGTGGGAAATCTAAATGGTGAGTGTTTCACAGCCACTTTAGATTATTCCACTGCTTCTGCCAGTAAACCTGTTTTGGGTGTGTTTCCATTGGTATACTTCCCCCATCATCTTCCCAGGACATGTGGGGGTGGCAGGAGGCTTTTTTAGGTCTTAGCAGATCAGTGCCTCTTCTCATCTGCCATGTGAACACTCCCTCATTTTCCTTTCTGCCTTTAGAGTACTGACAGTGGAGGCCTAATACTGATAGTCCTCTCCATAACAGCTAGGATGGGACTTTTATTCTGGGAATGGGCCTCCCTCTCCACCTGCTATCCACACAAAAATACAGAATTGCTTTAAAATATTTTAGGTACTATTATTTGAGTCATCATCAAGGCCCAGTGCTTTGGTTTCTGTGCATGTCTAATGAGAACAATTTAAGAAAATGCACAAGAAATTGTAGATGTTTTAATTAAAAGCAGTTGTTCAGTAAGGAGATGTGACTGAATCATACCGTAAAATAATCATTTTAAAAGTCAATTTAACTGCATATGATAAAAGATTCCAATTATTGTAGTTCCGAGTACTACTTATATGGAGTATGCTTTTAGAGATTTAAATATTGCTGTGATATAATGCTCTAGAAATTTTAAAATTTTATTTTAAAATGTATGTTATATTTCCTTGCTTTGAGGGTAGTGGGTTGCCTCTGTTTCTTCTGTGAATAGGAGAACTCCTTACATTAATGCAAGGGATGAATATCCAGAGAAGGCTCCCAAAGAAGAAAGAGGAGGTAATTTTTGTTGAGTCTTTGTAACCTCGCACCACCTCTTCCACTGTTCCAGAAGCTCTCTGAAAACCAGAATTTCGGAGAGGAGAAGGAATAGTAAAAAATCATCTTACCCCTCATCTTCCAGTGAGTGTATCTTGTGGATAGAGTTCCACTAATGGGAACTCTGGATTCAAGCCATTGTAACTAATAAACCCCCCCACAAATAAGATAGCGACATCATTCTATTCTCATCAGTAAAGAGAAATTAAACCAAATTATACCTTCTTTTTGTGCTGGTATGATTCAGCCATTAGAAAAATGTGGGATGATATTTCCTAATAGCTTATCCCTGACTACATTGAACAGAAGGTTTCCTCCGAAGTCCTCCTTGGTATGTCATGAAGAGCTTCATATAGCAATCAGATTTTTTTTTAATATTCAAAAGCTGACTACATTATAGAGATTTTTAGCTTCTTCCAGTAAAGGAGTAAGAATGTTCTTGAGTTCCAAAAATAGGAAACTAAAAGAAAACCACAACTTGTTGCATTTAATTACATTCCAAAAGTCACTTGTCAAATTCTTTTGAGTATAGGCAGTATTGATTTCTGAACTGCATCTTCCTTTAGAATAAGCTGGAGGATTGATTTCCTGCACTACTTGTGTAATATTATGACACCATATAGTTGAAGTTTATTTTTTTTTCTTTTCAATAATTTTTATTAAGTTTCCATTTGCCAAATTAAACATATCATACCAATTAGTCCAAATTATATCAATACACATCATAAAGTCCAAATGTTTTCCAAATTAAAATTTTTTTGTGGGGGGGTACCCATGCTCCTCGATCGTCAGGAATCCAAAGATCCAAATTCGTGCTGCTTTCCTTACTGCAATGATGTTTCCAGTCCCATCTTCTCATATTTGTCATTTATTAATTTCCTTTTCTGTCACCTCCGAGTTTTCTCCACAAGTGGATTAAAAGGAACAGTCTTATTTTGTCTCTGTGTGGGTTTTATAATGCTCTCTCATATGTCCACAAATCCAACCATCATGTTTTCGAGCAGACACTCCGTCCTGTCATTCCGGTGAAATACAGTCTAAATGTCCACTCGTTTACTTTCCAGACCCGCTGCCTCATAATTAGTCTTCCAGGAGGATAACAGCCCTTTCTGATTTACGATTCCAGCCTGATATCCAAGCGGCTCTTCCTCCCTAGACCATCCATCTTGCAGCCGAGATCTGCCTACGCAATGGAGCATTTCTTACTGCGTCACTGAGACAGACTCACTTGTTTCCAAATCTTTCACAGACATATAATTTTTTCCACACAGTTCATTTTCACTCCCACTTGTAAATTAGTCGTCGAGACGGTTTTTTGAGGGGGAGGGTTATCAGGTACTCACATAAAAATAAAATAAAAAGGTCTCCCCCTCGTACCGTCCACATACCAAAATGTCGGCAGTTCTCTGGTGTTATCTCTGTTCCTTCCGTCCTTCGTCCTTCCGTCTCGATCTTCTTCACTCAGTGGTAAATTTATTAGCAGATAAAAGCATTCCTGATTTCTCTTGAAGCATGTTCGTTTATTGGTCCAATTCTTTTCTTCTTTTTAAACATTGCAGCCAGGCTCGCTCCTGAAAGAAGCTGGCAGGGAGCTCCAAGCTTGCCCGAGGGCTTTCCACCTAGTGCCTCTCACCCCCTCCTTCATCCGAACTCGGGGGTGATTTATGGCAACAGCAGGTGAGGCAGCGTCTTTTCCTTCCCTGAAAAGACGAAGGGAGGCTGATGTACTCCCCATATCAGCCTCTAATTACCTCTTGCAAGCTGGACACGATGTTATTAGCAGCCATCTTTCAAGGCGCCCCTAGTGCCCCCCCCCCCCCGAAGTTTATATTTTTTGGGAGGGTTTTTCATTAACCTTTCTTCCTCCTTTCAGGTTTGAGTGGGGAACAGGAAGAAGAATATTGTATTGTAGTTCCTTTGCTTGAACATTTACAGTCTACTGAATGTTGCTATCCAGAGAAGTGTCTACGGTTTAACCATTCTTTTATCCATCAGCTATTTGTTGTGTGTGTGTTAAAAAGTATTGAAATGACTTGGCCTATTATAAGCATTCAGGTAAACTTGTTCTTTTTAAGAACATAATCAACATACCTTAAGTGAAGATACCTGCGCTGTGGGATGAGGTAGTAGGTTGTATAGTTTTTAGGGTCATACCCACCACTGGGAGATAACTATACAGTCTACTGTCTTTCCTAAAGAGGCAGACAATCATCAGTGATATCTGTATGGCTTTGTTACTGGCTATACGATTACAACTGGGAGGCTGTAATGATGGCTCACCGGACACACTTGTCAAGGAAATGTGGACTCAAAGAGTTGGATCCTGAGGAACATGAGTGGAAAGAAGCTTGTGGAAAGGGACTTCTATCATCTCCTCACCATCTGTTCCTTCTTAGAGTCAGGGGGCCTCCTGAAAGGTGTGAACTATGTGGGGAGCAGACCTGAATTGGCCAGAGGTACCTTGTGCCTTTATCCAATGATGTTGTTTTCCCTTCTCTGAGCCAGGGCCAATAGGCAAAGTTGAGGCATCCTTCTCAGGAGGCAGCCCCCACCTCATTCTCCCAAGCTAGTCTGCTGCTCTGGGCAAAATAGAGGAAACGGTTCTGAAGTAAGATGTGCCTGCCAGTCCAGCTGGATCTTTATATGAAATGGAGCTGTATCATCATTTGTTTAGGGCAGCAAATTGTATTGGGCTGGCCCACTGGTGCCCTATTCCGCACTGTTTAGGATATCCTTCCAGAGAGGCTTTTTGTGAAGCGCAGGTGAGAGGAGATGGAGATGTCCCCATCTGCAAGTAAGTCTCAGGATCCAGTCCATGGGCAGGTAGACTCAGAACAAATTAACTGGAAATAGAACCCTTCTAAATATATTTCTCTTATCAGGTTGAGGTAGTAGATTGTATAGTTGTAGGGCAGTTATTTTGCCCTCTTCAGGAGATAACTATACAATCTATTGCCTTCCTTGAGGAGTGAAAATTCTGCAGTGTTTTTGCTGAGTTTACCAGCAACCTTGGTGGGACCTCTCTTAATGGAAAATAAATGCAATGATTTGCACAGAAGATCTGTAACTAAATGCAACTCTATTTTTCAGCATTAATTTGATCATTTCAGGTATCTGCATCTTGAAAATATGTGCCACTTGGTTTGATCTGAGTTGGATTAAAAAAACAAGTGTTTTGTTTAAGTTTAATTGGGAGGATATTAAGTATGTATACTATTAATGATATAACAAAGGACTAACAGTGAATGGCTTTATACTTACATAGCAAGTGGTTCACCTTCTATAGTAACTGAACGCATACAATTGTGATACAGCATCTTGCCTTATGTTGTAGAAAGTTTGTCTTTCACTACAGCTAATCTTTTTCTTTTCTTTTTTGAAGGATTGCTGAAGAAGTGGTGGGTTCCTAGGAAGAGGTAGTAGGTTGCATAGTTTTAGGGCAGTGGTTTTGCCCGCAAGGAGTTAACTATACAACCTGCTGCCTTTCTTAGGGCTTTAATATTACAACAGGATGATATTGGCTCAGTTTTAAATCTTCCTCCACTAGGTTGTGGTTTAAGGTTTGGAAGACCGGCTAGAAAAGTTTTGCTCACTGAGTAAGCCAAAAAATGTGGGGAAACCTTGAGCTACCTTTTAACCTACAGAATGTATCCTTGGCTTTTTGCTAAGAGAAGTCTATGGTACAAAGTATTCTATCCAAACTGAGTAGAAAAGAGAATGGTGTAATGGTTTAAACTCTTAAGGCTCCAAAGTGTCATATGTTTAAGAAGTACTTAAGTAAACTAGGCTGCTCAATAAACTGCTTTGTAGTAGTACATTCTGTTTCCTGTCTTATGTTGCCTTTCTCCAACACCCCAGTAGATAAAACTGAAAAATGAGATTTTAATGAACAATATTGATTATCTAACTGTAGAGTTCACATGTGTCCAATTTTTGAACATGGCATTTTGGTAAGAGTCTATGTAATTCTCCTTGAAGCAGCTGTTCCACATAAGCTGTGCTGGTCTTACTAGGGCCTTAGAAATTGTGTGGTCCTACCCCCACATTTAGGAGTTCTCACATGTCTGCATTGTTTAGCTGTGAAACCAACTTTGAATGAGGGTTTTGTCCAATGCTGCACCTATGGAGTTTTGCTCAGGCAACTGGAGATCCCTTGCTCTCCTGCTGCACTCTCAAAATCTCATCTGGAGCAGATTGAGAGTGTACAAGCACTTCGGTATTTCAAATTTCAGCAGTGCCCTGTGCCAGGCCAAAATTTGGCGCCCCACCTCTAGCCTTCAGTTCTGATCAATTCACTACTTCATAGTTGCGGTGCCCCGCTAGGCACCCTTAATCTGCCTCTGATGCAAGGGGGCTGGAGGGAAACGTTCAGTTTTGCAGAGCAGCAATGTTGGACATGACCTTGAGTGCTTTATCTTAGAAACTGAACTGAGGTGTACACTATGGTAGATTGGACCCATGTTACTTCCCCCCGCAAAAAAAAACTTCAGAAAATATTTACTAATCTGGTCCATTGTACACTCACATTATATCTCAGCATTTAATAAAATTACTGCCTTTTTCCAGACTGAGATGGAATTTCATGAAAGTCGTGTATTTTTAAAGAGCAAGGAAAAAGATAACTGACAACCACTTCAATAGTTTATTCTTGATCTAAAAACATCAAAGCTTGGATTTCACTGCATGCTTTTGTTTTCAAGTGGCATGAAATGTTATAAATCATACTGACATTTTGTTTCTAGATTACACATGGGCTGCATCATGTGATGATGAATTCACTTTAGAGTTAATTGACAGGCAAACAAAACTAACACGAGACTGTAAAATGAGAGAAACATTAAGTCTTACAAATTAAAGGAGTATGCCCTTAAGATGTCTCCATTTCCAGCCACCACACCAACAATGCTCACATCGTCACAAGCCACACTTCTAAAGCCACTAGGAGAGGAAAAAATATATAGCTCACAGTACTTGGCACAATCTAGTACTTACATTTAACTACGACATATGGAAACAAACTCATTCTGTTTTAGTACGAGAAGCTACATTGCAGGTTTTTGAGATTTTGCAATGGGTTTTTTATGTTGCCCTGCTAAGCATAGCCCCAGTTTTGCCCTGTTTCAAAACTGAGTTACTACCATCTTTTTTTAAACCTGAGTAGTAGGTTAGTTCTGTGTTCATTACAACAGAATTGGTTTATCCCTTGGCTGTAAGCTTCACTGCTTGCAAAGATTAAATTGGGGGATGAGGAAAGCCATGGATGGCACAGGCAAAAAACAGTGCACATAGCTTTTATCTACCCCTCATGGTCCTAAACGGGGGAAAGGGGATGTTGAATGGGACTTCGTGTCAAGGGGCCCAGTCATAAGGAAAAGCAAAGCAATCCCCAGAGCCTTTGTATAATTCACATATCGCTGTCTTTAAACCCTGGCCCATAGCTCCTATGATCTAGTATCACTATACTTTAGACTGATTTTCAGAAAACAATTGAACTGAAGTCTTCCATATAAATACAGTTCAAACTAGCATTTGGGGTCACAGATGGGCTTTTATTCTCAAATCTGCCTTCTAATATAGTTGTATTTAGCAAGAAAGTGATAGGTGCTCTCATCTTAACTGCAATTTGCAAAATGTTTCAAACTTACTTTGACCATCTGTGGGATCCTCCTAGTAAGTGGTAGCGACCGTTCAGCAAAGATGATTTGTTGTCATTTTTCCAGGAGTACACACGAAGTGAGAGGTCCATGGATGATGTGACAACGTGAAAAGGATCCTGGTTGGGGGTGGGTGGATGCAAATTAAAGCCTTTTAGTTAAAGAATATTTAGTGTACAGAACAGAAATAAATAATAGTAGTAGTAAGTAATAGTAACCGTATATACCACCCAGATTGATGTAATAGAATTGTGGTGATCTTTGAAAGCCATTAATTCAGTTCCTGACAGAGTGTATAGTTTCAGCTCTGGTCCAGTTGATAAAAGAATAGTTTGTTTGCCAAATCCTTTCATAATCGTCTCTCCAATCCGTAGTTGTGCTGGTAATGTGAAGTCTGCAACCTGTCGAGCTTTTGCATAAAAACCATTTTAGCACCGAAATTTCTGCTCTGTTTACTGTGAAGAGTACTGCAACAGTGCTCACCAGTATATTAGTCAGGTCACGATTCTCTGAATTTTGAGCTACATATTGTGTATTGAGAACATGCTGATTCAGACCCAAGCTAGCAGTTCTGTCTATTGTGCTGCTATGGACAGGAATGAAAACAGATAGGGAACACTGATTAAGAAAACAAGTTGCCTAAAGAAATAAATTTGTCAATTGGGTATTATCTGCTGAGCTTGACGAAACACCACTATATAAAATTAGGGACACTGGTCTGTCTAGTTCAGTGTCGTCAACACTGGCTGGCAGCATTTCTCCAGATTTTCAGGCAGTTGTCTCTGCCAAACCTATGTGGAGAAGTTAGAGACTGAACCTGGACCTTCTACTTCCTACTACAGCACATGCTCTAGTACTGAACTGTCCTTTCCCATGCATTTTGTTATTCAGCTTTGACACAGTGCAGCCAAGTCCCTGCTTTTATGGCTTACCATGCACAGAAATCCCTTCCGTGTCTATTCAGAAATAAGCCCCATTGAATTTAGTGAGCTTATTTGCACATAAGTGGGTTGGAATTGCAACCAACATTTCAAAACAAATATGCCGCTCCTCTTCACCTATACAAGAAAGGTCCACCTGACAATTCATTTCCTTTTCAATAGCAATTCAGTTCAGGGTGTTTTCTGGATCGCTGCTGAATAAAAGGATAAATTACCTTCTGCTAGACAACAGTTTGAAGAAACTTACCTGTAATACTCATTTTATATTTAGACTTCTTCTCAATGTGTATATCTAAGCTCACAATGTGAAAATTTCTCTCTTCATCATGCAGCACGGCTACTCTTGCGGGCTCTGCTGGTAACCAGCAGGTGTCAAGGCACTGACCTCTGATCGGAAGAGGACTAGATAAGAGTTCATCATCTACAGAATTAGTTGCAGAATGTGTATAAACCACCTGTTACATATACAAAAACAAGCATTAACACACAATAGCTGGGATCCAAAGAGCTGCTTATGGTATACTTGGATAGCCCAAGTGAGGATTTTCACTTTGAATTTTATGCAAAAAATTATTTTGAACTTTGAATTACAGAGCTTCATGGCACATCACAAATGGTGTTTGATACTTCCTTCAGGGTTGCATCCCTACAGGCCCTCCAAGCGTCTTGCCACAGGGTTGGGAGGGGGAATGACTTAGCTATTGTGGATCAAGTCATACAAGGTTCAGCCTCTCCCACTCCCCATCTCTCTGGAGAGGCAGGAAGGGGAAGCTCTGTTAATGGGACATTTTTCTTTTGCCCAAGTAAAGATTGCTCGTTATGTGGCATGGAGATTTGAGTGGAATTTTGTTGACAACAATTGCAAGTTTATGAGAAAAAAAGAAGCCACAAAATAGTGGTAACTTTGCTAGGACGAACTAAATGCCACAACACAGTGAGCAAGTTTTCAAGCTCTCCAGAACTCTTTAGGCTAGATGGGAAGCCTAAAGGTGTAAGCTCATGGAGAAGGGGAGGGAAGGACACAAATACTAGGCAAAGTGTTGACACACCAAAGTAGTTTACAGTTTGTAACAGTCTTAAGTCTAAAGATGATGGGTTAAATCCAAAATTGCATTCAGCGTTACAGGTTGTTTCCGTTTGAAATAGCCATGTGGAATGGGAGGAAGTCAAGACTGCAGCATGCAGGGAAGGAGGAATTTAACCCTTTCTCCTGCACCACAATCCCAACTGAATCCCCACCACAACCCTGAAGTTGACGTTAGTCTCAACAAATGCTCAAACGCTGCAGCATAACAGTACCTTTGGTGGTAAAGCATTATCTGTAGGGCGAGCAACTATCCATAGACCATCGGGTGAACAAAGTAATGAATTTATGCCACAGTTTTGGAACAGTTGTGTGGATGAAATTTGGCTTAAATTGGCAGCTACTAACGTATAGAGTTTGCCTCCTCCGGTGCCTACCTAAACCAAGGAAGGAAGCACAGAAAATATAGTTAATGATTCCTTCGTAGCAACACGCAAAAGATTCAACTGTGGATTACCAATTTCTGCTGAGTCACCAATTGCTGGGTTTCTTGCAAAAACAATGGAATAGCTCTGATCCAGCCCTGAGTTGCAGCAACTTTAAAAACTACTATTCCACATTTTTAAGCAGGCTTTTGGCAAGCCAACAGGAAGTTTGTTTCAAACTGTCAGTCACGCTACACTTACCGTTAAGAATGGCTTGCTGTTTATTGTGTAGGCAACCACAGAGCATGATGAGGATGATACTGAAAACGTTGCAAGCTCTTCCCCTGTCTCTCCATGCCAGAGTTTGATTATCCCATGACAGTCTATTGTAGCCACCAATTTATCTGAAGGAAACGTGGCAATGTTTTGCAGTCCATTTTCCTGCTGGGGACTTGACCAAATCTGTGTACCCTGTTTAAAAAACACAAAATGGTGCCATTCGTGCCTCACTTATTTCCAATTCTCTATTATCTTCAGACTATTTCATTTAACACATCTGTGTTATGCGTGGCATGCAGTCCTAACCCCATTCACCCAAGACCAAGGCTAGATATGCTTCAAACCTTTAAAGGACACACCCCCACCTGAGAATTCTGGGAACTGTAGTTTACTTCTACAGACCCATACTTCCGAGCACCCTTAAACTCAACTCTCAGGATTCTGTGTGTGTGGAGCAGGGGGTACTTTAACAGTCTGGTGTGTATGTTGCCTAAGACCCAACTATACAGATTTCTCTGATGGTGTATTTTCAAGTATGTTCTATACGCCAACTTTTTTCGGTGTGGAGTCGGTAAGAAAAAAAGGAAACGAACACATGCTGTTGAAAAGTTTGCGTATTTGTTGCTTGCTTTCACCTTTACCTTGTTGAAACATGTTCACTTGATTTATGTGCACACCAGAACATAATGAGTCAGTCTCCATTGTATTTCAAAGTCCTGATGTGCAGCCAAAAATATTCTAACAGAATTCATTTCAAATAAATGGATGCTTCCTTGGTATCAGACTTTTGTCCTCCATATTGCCATCAACGTCATGCCAACAGTCTTTTAAAAAATGCCATGTCAAATTCTGGAATTTTAGTTTTCTTCCTTTCTACTTTCATTGGGCTGCACCCAGCTTTGTCCTCCTGTGAACAGAAGGGCTTCTTCCAGGAAAGGGGTTGAGATTCAGCAGAGGGGGCTCCCACTGGAGGACAGGAAGTTGCCATTTTCAACCATACTCCCCCCCCCACCTCCTGCACTCCTACAAGGCATGGGCATAGCCAGGGGGTACAGGTAATCAAGGAAATAAATAGAAATATTTAACTAAATGACCAATTGTGTCGCAGATAACTCGATTCTGCCCCCTTAAAATAAATCCTGGCTACGTCCGTGCTAGAAATGCTTTTCCTGACTGCAGGTTCCCTTTTAGCCCTTTCTCCAGCAGGATAATCCGTTTTCCACCCATCTCTCTTTAAATATCTCAAACAAACAGCAACTGCCTTGAAAGGTGGCAGATAAATGTCGTAACTAAACAAACAAACAAACAAACAAACAAACAATTTGAGCTGCCTGGGCTTTCCTTCCTTTTCCTCTTTGAAGTAATTCTGAATATAAGTGTGATCACCCCTTGGCACCAATCAGAAATATTATCCTTTTTTATTTTATTAACAATTTTCTTGTTTTACAGAAGTATGTGTAATGTTTCTCGTATTTTTTCCATGTAACATTTTTACAAATCAGTTTCATTTGTTGAGACATTAGGGGGAAATAAGGGGTGGAGCGGGGCGAAGATGGGTGGGGTCAGGTGGCGATGTTTCTATTTTGCTTAATGTATGTAGGGTTTGGTGTCAGCATTGCTCGTGCAGGTTCTCTGCTGTTCATTTGTGTTTCTTTGGTGGTGAAAGAGGTTGGAGTTGGCCTAGGGTATGGTTGTTTGTTTGTGATTAGCTATGGTGATCTTTGTTGTCGTGTGATTTTCCTTCCTTACTAAAATCCACCATTCATCTTTTACAAGTACTTTTGTCCTACCTCTTGGACGTTCCATGCCCTGACTGTGCCATCAGAAGAAGTGGTACACACAACAGACTTGACATTTCCTGTTGCAAATGTGTGCTCGTTCTCTGATAGGTAAGCCATACCAGTTATCGTTCCTATAACAACATGAGCAGAATTTTATTTGGAATTTTTAAAAAATTGAGCAGAATTTCATTATGAAAACAACCATTAGTCTGGTGTGTTTTCTGATACTGCAGAAACGTGGCATATTATAAATCTGCAATAAACACTCAACATAATTTTATTTATTTAAAATCTTATAAACACACACACACACATGCATGTATATCTCTATACCACTTTATATTTTTAAAGAAAAAACCTCAAAGCATGTGCAATAAATATATACTCCAAACAATGTAAAAAAGTAAAACAATGCAATAGATAATAAAAGCAACATAAAACAAGATCATAAAAGAATCTAGAAATGGCTGGATGAACAAAAAGGACTTCAGTATATGCCAAAAATGTAAACACCGTTCCCTAATCTTCAATTACAAAAGCGTTCAGGCACATGCAATATACCAAACAGAAACATCGGTCTATCACATAACTCTAAAATAGCACCCTGGGAATAAAATGTACTATTCAAATGCACTATTCATTTTATTTCTCCCCAAATAAAAATAAAAGACAAGCTGCATATAATAATTATTTTAGTATACCATCATTATTCCATCCAGTCATATATTTTCAAAACTCTGCTTCATTAAACTCAAGTATTTCTGATTTCAGCAGTGAAAAGGGATTTATTTTAAATACTTGCTCCATATGCACATCACAAAGAGGGACCATGTTTTTCGTCCAAATCTTCCCCCCACCCATTTCACCTCCCCTGTCAAATTAGTAAGGTTAGGCATCATTACTGCATATCAGATCTTTTTCACTCACTCCATTATGGTAGTTATTTTCAATGAATATAAAAATAAGTAGAGAGGGAGTGATATGCAGTGGCGTAGCGTGGGGGGTGCAGGGGGGGCCGGCCGCACCGGGCGCAACATCTGGGGGTTAGGGTTAGGGGGCGCAAATCCACGGGTTAGGGGGCGCAAATCCACGGGTTAGGGGGCGCAAATTACTTGCCTTGCCCCGGGTGCTGACAACCCACGCTACGCCACTGGTGATATGTGTTTCCTATTCCAGGAAATTAAATTATGAGTTTTTACCACACTTAGCCTACCTGTATGTCCTCTCATCGCTTTACATGTGTAGTCAACTGAAGGCCGTCCAGATATCTTTTTATGCTCAAGATTAGAGCGGTGCAGATAGTACTTTTTCCATGTCTGCATTCCTGGGATCACTGAGATATTGCAGAAGGCCCATCGTCTCAGACACATATTTCTATAAATTTAAAGAGTGGCAGATTTATCTTGAAATTTTAAAATCCTTCCTCCAGAGCAGTTTCACTGAACGAGGCAGAAATGAATGACAACCATCATCTGCCGTCATTAGATAAAAAGCAATTGGCTACAAAGTCTTCGGCTGGATTTCATTCATTTACATATTTTTACAATGTACGGCATTGCAAAAATCTGCTCCTTCCTCCCCATCGCCTCTCATCTAAAATTCTGATTCCAGCCTTCCTCATTTTGAGCTTTCCTACATCCTCTCCAGTCCTTTCTCCTCAATACAGAATTCTGCTGCCAAATAATTTATCTCTTTCATATCTAGCACAAACTCTTGTCTGCAAGTTTAATGCAGTGGCAGAGAACCTCAGGTGGGGGGTCAAATGCAGCCCTCCAAGCCTCCCCAGACCTACCCACCCCTCTCCCCAAGCCCGATCCCTCACTGACCCTGCTATGTATCTTGTCCTTCCTCCTCCCAACCCATGTTTTCTGTAGCTATGTACACACTATACATTTAAAGCACATTTTAAGCATGTCCCCATCCCAAGAATCATGGCTGTAGCTTTGGGAAGGGCAAGCTATAGTTTCCAAGATTGAGGTGTGTGTGTGTGTGTGTGTGTGTGCTCTTTGAATGTGCATTAAATGCATGGTGTGTATTAATCATCATTCTCAGCTGTAACGAAGTTCCTCACATCCATTGCTTGCCACCCTTGTTTTGACTTCCCCCCAGATCTCTTTCTGTCTTCTAGCCATGTCCGTTGCGATCACCAGAGGGGACTTGGCTATGTTGTCCTTATCGAACTCTGCTGTTCCATGTTCGCGAATGGTGCTGTGTTCTCAGTCATAAGTAAACTGAATGCACCAAACCCAAATATTAAAATAGATAAGAAGTGTACTAACCTCCAAAGAGAAGAGGTCTCTGCAGCTTCATTCCATGTCTAAAACGGGAAAGCAGGACAGGTTTTAGAGGAAGTTCTTCAAGATTCAGGGGACTGAGTCACATAGCAGCACACTTGAGCACAGTGCCTGCAGTTTCATTTATTCATTCAGCCAGTCTGTTATTTATCTTACCTCAAAGTCCCAGGGTGGCTTACAATAAATGTAATAAAATACCCAACACACCACAGTAACAAGCAATAAATATAAAACAGAGCAATGAGGCTTACTGGGCCTCAGATTGCAGCCTTAGGCACGTCTTATTTCAAAGTACTAAGTTGGACATTTAAGCGTTTGTACAAAAAAGAAAAGAAAAAAGAGTTCTGTTTTAAGCAATCATAAAAGTGATATTCATTCAACAGGTGATGTTTTTCCTGTCATGCAAATACAATGATGGGGAAAACTTTTGTCAGCTTAACGTCTGCTTGTCACACAGGTGGCAAGAGGCCCCGAAGCATCGCTAGGGAAGTTTGCAATCCTAGAAGCTTCCCATTAACATCTGCAGAAACAGAAGCGCCAGAAGGACCATCGCTTGGATCAGCGGCTTTCGCTCTTACTGGCTGCATTGTCAGCACTGCAGAAACATCGAGGGTGGGGTCGGCTTGAAAACAGAAAGCAAAGTTTCCAGGAAGAGCGCAGGCGCAGGCGCCTGTCTTGTTCGGGAGATTTCCACGGTGGCCAGGGATACTGTTGCGCGCTTTACTGAATCCAGTGTGTCGCTGCAGGATCTTCTCCCCCCTTTTAATGACTACTGTGTCACGACGCTGGACGGGGACACGCTGTCAGAATGGGACGTCCGGAATCCGGATCTCGCCCTCTTAAGTTGGCTCGTTAATAAAAGCAAAGGGGGGGACGGGCAAAATTGTACAACGGGGAAGAAGAAGAAGAGGAAGCTGGGGAGAGAAGGGTTGCAGTGATTGGGACGTTATACATCTATTAAAACAGGAAGATCGCGCTCCACGTATCTGAAGAGGTCGAGAGAAACTTGGAGCAAGCGCGCCTGCTACTGGCGCATTTGGCTTGGAGAGGTCGTTAAGGGAAGCCCTCTTTCCCCACTTCCCGCGATCGAAGTGGAGAAAGATGTTCTTTCCACCAGTGGCGCACGGGCGAATTTGGGGGCACTTGCAACCGGCGCTGCAACGCACCTTATTCACTTGGGCTGCTCTGAGTAGATCCGGTGGCTCCAGGTATGAGAACAGGTGGATGATGCAGTCCAGGGTCAGCGTCTCAGCGCTCATCTTCCCTCCGAGATCCCCCGCTACGGACAAGCGGAGTCCGGACGCTCCTCTTCCCTCCCCGCCCCTGTCCGGTCAGCGTGGTAGCGAAGGCGGGGCGAGGGCGTCACGTTCCGTCGCTGCTGGCCTGGCGGCTGCTTGTCACTACTGTAAAAGCAAGCAGGTCTCAAACGCTGCTCCGCTGTTTTTGTCCCTGATCAAGAGGCATTTGTTGATTCTGGGCAACAGAACTCCGGGCATCCGCGCGCACGTCAAGGAAGCAAGTATCAGTTTTTTAAAAATCCATGGAATTTATTGTATAGTGAACGTGGAATGTTAATACTCAAGGAGGTTTAACTCCTATATATACACGAGGCCAGCAAGCCCAAGGGGCAGGGATAATAGGAGTTGTAGCCCAACATTATCCCAGGGTCCCTATGTCTGCTCTACACACTTCTCTGGGAATAAAGCCATTTTTAAAAAAGTGGGACTTTTGAATAAGACTGAGCTGTACATCTCATAGAACACAGAAGCTCCCTGTCTTTTCTAGACACGCATAGGATCGCGTTGGAGCAACTTCCTATGAATGGTTAATTGGAAGCAAGTCTCACTCTGCAGGGGAGAGACTATACAATTCACTGTAACTGCCTCGCACAATAATAAAAAAGCTTGAACTTAGTTGGTAATTTAAACCAATCAAAGATAAATCTGCTGATGTGTTTGTTCAGAGGGTTTTACATTCGTAGACATTCTCTGTTCCAGGTATCTTCAACCTTTTCAGACCTAGGCACTGGGGACTTATTACTTAATCTTTAACCACGTGTTTGCTCTTGTGGCGATCCACCTTGGATCAGGCCGCAGCTCACTAGTGGGCCCCGCCCCACCAGCTGAAGACGATCGCTCTACACACTATGGAGAACATCATTGTTTGAGACTCTGTCCTGCCACCTGATGCTCCCAAATCTTCCTGATGCAGCACACTTTACGCTTTTCTATACAGCTACTACGGCGGTAAACAAAAGGCATGAGATACAATTAATGATGCCCAAAATACCGCACTGCAGGGGTTGGATCAGATGAGCTCTTTGGGATCGTTTCCAACTCTACGATTCTAATACAACAAAGCAGCACCATAAACGACCAAGAAGCAGCTTAGAACCAGCACGGGAGATTTAGCGATCATCTGAACTCTGGGCAATGTCCCGAGTAAGCAAGCAAGATCACCCCACCTCCCCTGCGCTCTTTCGCCCCGCGCGCACAGAAGCTTGCGAACTGCACCCGGGAACCGGAAGCATCGCAACACAAGCATCGAGGCGGCGCCTCTGCACTTGCGCCTCTACGCACCCTCCCTTTCCTCTCCCAGGCAGACAAGGGATTAGCGTCTCTTTCGACTTCTCCAGTCACCGAGGCCCGACGAGCATTTGCCGTGTTCGCAGAGCATCATGGGAAGTGTAGTTCACCGAGATGTTGGGCTCCTACATATGGAATTAAACATTTAGCTCTCTGGGAGTCTTGAGTGTTTGCTTGGGTGCTCCGACGACCTGCTCCCCTTTCTCGGTAGCTTTCAGAGCTAGGTGCCAGTAAGCTATTTTAATATAAGGCATCCCTGGCAATGGAGTTACACATGGAACAATTTTGCATCCCCACCTAGTGCTGTATTTCCACTTAGAACTGACACGTGCCAGTGATTTTTTTGTACGGCTCTATATTTAATTACAGGAAAGAGCCATTGCCTTTTTCCTGAATGGCACGCAATCTGCTAACTTTGGCTACAAATTGACGAGAAAAGTAATATTTTAAAGATTTTTCCCCCCGTCCAGTTTGGCCCCGGAGATGGGACACCACACGTATGTGTAAATTGCTTAGTGGTGGGTCGTTTCAGAGTCACAGATGCTGGACCTTGTCCTTTTTGCCAAACTCCACACTGGAGAACAATTTAATGTTACCAAAGTTATAATTAACTATCGATTTATTTTTAGGTTGCAATATAACCCCGCTCACTAGGGAATAAATTTGATTGAACTTAGTGAAAATTACTTCTGAGTAAACACATGTATGATTGCTCTGTAAAATATGCAACCCTATTCACTGTATTAAAGGCTATAACATTAAAACCTGTGTTATTTTTCCCCTTTCTATAGTGATATGTGATGGAAACAGGAACAGAATCAAGGTCTACCGATTTTTATTGCACTTAGTCATCCTCTTTGTCAGTGTAAGGTTTATGTGAGCTATATTTTTTCAAAGTCTTGAAGGTGTGTCCCAGTCTGAATGTTTTGGGGGGCGGGAATCTGAAAGTTCTTGGCATCCCAGCATAAAGTTTCCTTAAATAACTGCAACTCTCTGGAAGTACCTTAGTGCTTATTGTGCATTTCTAAGCCAGTGCTAGACAATAATAAATGAGGCAAATTACATGCCAGGATGTGTTAGTGATAACTGTTTTCCACTAGAGACAGAAACAGTGAAATTTTCCAGCACAACAGCAGTACTATTTTCCCCTCTCCTCCCTCAGTGAGACAACAGTAAACTCTGCCTGGCACAGACAATCAGCTGCACCCCTGAGAATATTCACTGAATCTGATAACATCCTATTAGTAGCACTTGAAATGACCTAGCAGCTGAAGTGGGGGAGTTTCACCTAGGGAGGTCTAAGCATTTCACTTAATCTTTTCTTGTCTCTGTGTCCAAAAGGAAATCACATGTGTGGCATGAGCCTGACCCAGAAATTATTGCTGGGTGTAGGATATTTTGTGCAAATAAGGAAGGGCAGGGTCTGTAAGATGAATCACCAAAACAGCCATTATCCTGAGGAAAAACCTTTTGTGGGTGGATTTACGGTGATAAGTGCCCTTACAAGGTAACATTGTGATCTGTCAACTCCCTTGAACTGCTGGAAAGCCAAAATTCATGTGCTACTGTAGATATTAATGGGAGGGTATTTAAAAGTAGAGCAGTTCTCTGGAAGCCCTCATAATTCATATAAAGTTAAGAAGTGATTGCTCCTTGGAATTGTGTACAGAAAGCTAAAAGATTATTTTTAGGACCTTGCACAGAGCAAAAATAAATAAGAGAGGCACTTGCTATAATGGCAGGAAATAAGCTATTACCACTATTTAACTTTTGGCAAAGCAAAGCTGTTGAGAATTCCTGAATGTGCATGATGGTCTTAGATAAGGTCGAATCTCAAGGATGATTTCTCTTCCACCTGCCCCCGCTGAAAGCATGCGTAGGGGAGTCTTAGGAGTGAAGTAACTTAACAACCAAACACTTGCATTTCAAGTTCTTTAAGGCCAAGTCAGGATTTCAAAGCTGAGGCATGCAATAACTGGGAGATAGGCTGGCAGTATTTTGTTGTTGCTCCCCCCCTTCTATTAGATAAAATAACAAATATTGCAATTTATGTGTATCCCCAACAGCATTACAATAATAATGTAAGAACCAGTTGTGAATATAACAAATACAAAGTAAAAGTCCAACAGAATTAGTCAACTGTAGCTACCATTAATGCAATGATTAATATGAGTAAGATAAGGTAAGACAGGAGGATATATCAGGGTATTACAGCAGTTCTCATAATTTTCATTAAAAATACTGTGTCGAGTCTTGGAAATTAAATTTCATCTGAAAGAATGTAATTTAATTTATCTTGCACTATGTTATTCCAAGAGACGTCATTTTTCTTTCCAGTGCAGTTATTGTCCTGTTGCCTGCCTTCTCCCAGCTTTGTCAGAAAAGGAACAACAGAAATAAGAGGCTAAGCATCTCCAAATTTTTGTATGCTTAAATGCTGATCCTGCTAGGGTTTAGGTCAGCATTTAGGCAAACCAAAATTTGAAACTCTGTACCGCTTGTTTCTGGTCTTGCCCTAGGCATAGATGTCAAAATGGGCTATCCTAGCCAGTCACCTGCTTTGGCTTCCATGATGAAGTCAGACGAACAGCTACTACAGTGGTACCTCGGGTTAAGTACTTAATTCGTTCCGGAGGTCCGTTCTTAACCTGAAACTGTTCTTAACCTGAAGCACCACTTTAGCTAATGGGGCCTCCAGCTGCTGCTGCGCCGCCGGAGCACGATTTCTGTTCTCTCTTTTTTAAAAAATAATTTTTATTAACCGACCAATCAAATCAAATCAAATCACATCACATAAATTCCGAATTACAAAGCCAAATTTTAAATTTTTGTTGGCGATACCCATATTTCAAGTTCCGAAGGGGATTCCGATCATCTTCTTGCTGCTGCATTAATGTCCACAAATCTGTCCAAATAATGTTCATAATTCTATCCAGTCCTATCTTGCTGTTCCCACATCTCATCTTATTCATATATTTTTCTTATTTCTTTGTCATCTCTTCTAATAATCTCCTTAAGCAGGTAAACACCAGTTGTGATCCTGTGTGAATTTTTCCGTTCGTCCAATCACCATATCGAGATGATTTCCATATGTCATCACTTCCATAAATAAAAACACTCTTTCCATCATTAATCTTCGCAAATCTGTCGCCTTCTTTAGTCCTCTGAGGAGGCTTGCCCGCAATATGAAAACAGATCCATTCCTCCTCCCAGACATAAATCTTTTGACAGAACTTGCCAAAATGGCGACGCTATTTTTTACTGCGTCATCCCAAAGCTCTTATACTTTCCACATTCTCCTTAAAACATGCTTTTGGTTAGAAATTATCTCCACACAGTCTTAAATCATCCAGCTTAAGTCATTTAAGCAGCATTTCTGACTTGTTTGGAGGGGGATTCTTGGTTAATCACATAAAAAAAAGAAAGGAAAGTCCCCCCCCCCCATCCAGTTCCGTTGCCGACATACCGAGCCTTGGTGTGTCTTCTCATGATATATTCCTGTTTATCCGACCCGTCTTCTTTCTCAGAGATCTCTTCAATTAGCAGTCTTTACTCCCCATTCTTCCTTGAAATATGTGCATTTGCTTCATTCCTAATTGTTTCTTTTGAAGTTGCTGCAGCTAGCGGCACGAATCAGAGATAGCGTCCAGGAGAGCCGAAGTCCACACAAGGGCTTTCTGCCTAGTGCCCCCACTAAAATTCGGGGGTGGTATAGGGCACAGCAGGCAAGGGCAGTTCACCCCATTCCCTTCAGGGGGGCAGGGAGACTGCTTACTCCCATCACAGCCTCTTAATTACCTCGTGTGGGTCGGAGAGATGTTATTGTCGGCCATCTTCCAATGCGCCCCTAGTGGCCCCCCACGATTTTTGTTCTCATCCTGAAGCAAAGTCCTTAACCCGAGGTACTATTTCTGGGTTAGCGGAGTCTGTAACCTGAAGCGTATGTAACCTGAAGCGTATGTAACCCGAGGTACCACTGTATATCAGTGCAAATGCTTGCGTCTTAAAATCCTTCCAACTATTAGCTCCCTTTAAATGCAGAGCATTGTCAGGAGGTAGGTGCATTTTTTGCCACAATGAAGTACCTTGAAAAATCAAATCAATAAAGGCCTCCAGAAGCCCTTGTCGGAGGCTGTCCTCTTTAGATTCTTTCCTGGTTTCCTTCCAATCAGCTTCCCCTGGATGAGTAATTTTGTTGTGTCTGGATCATTCAGTGACTTGTGCAGAGATTGTGGCAGAATTACCTGCCTTTAGCGGGGTTGCACCCATAAATGATTCATGCAGGAGCACTGTGGGTAGATTCCTCAGGGATGAGGTAGAAAAGCTTTGTTTATTATGATTTAAGAGAAAACTGAGAGACAGTGTGAGGTAGGGGTTAGGCACAGGAAGATCCAGGTTCATATCCCTATTCAGCTATACTGACTGTCACCAGACTGACTTCCTTCCTCCTGGTTTACCTCATGGGATTTTTCAGATGCTAAGAGAGGTGGAAGAAACATATGGGCCACCTTAAACTTCTTGGAAGAAGGACAGGATATATAAATTGGTTAAGCAGCCGAAAGCTGAGGGCAGGAATACTTGGACAGTTTTCTGAATGGAAGGTTGTAGAAAGTGGAGTCCTCCCTGCCCCCTGGCCCCAGAATCAGTATTCGGACCTGTTCATAAATGATCTAGAGTTAGGGGTGAGTAGTAAAGTGGCTAAGTTGGTACTATGGTATATTTTGCTATTTATTTTTAGAGTCACTTTAACAGGTTGGTTATTCGAGGCATCCGGCACATAATAAATACACACACTCCAAATTTTGAATTACCAAGATGGTAAAACTCAGGCCAATTAAAACAGCTATTATACTATCAATCTCAGTAGAAATAAAAAAGTTACCCATTATAAAAATGGTGCTCTAAAAACAATACTAATACTAGTAATAGTTTCCAGAGGATAGCTATGCTTACAGAATGTCTTAGAAGGTTGAAATGTTCTCCCTACTTGCTTTTGAACAGTACTGTTTCTAATGCCAGAATTGTACATCCATTTTATTCTTTTAGGTAAGGACTGACCTGCTTCTCCTATGCAGAATGCAGGAAGGGAATGCTGGCAGATGATTGCATGAATGGCACTGGAAGGTGATCAGGTGAATAAAAGCCTGATGTTGCCCAAAGCACTTAATATACATAAGAACATAAGAAGAGTCTGCAGATTCAGACATATTCCATCCTGCCCCTGCCCCTCTGCCACATGACCCTGCAGGAGAGCGAGTAGCCAAATGTGTAGATCCGGCCCTGATGTTGTCTAGCCTGTTTGCAAACAAATCAGAGTGAGCGCTCATGAAATAGCCGTAATCTAGCTTCCCTGAAAACAAATCAGGACGAATGCTCAGTAAACATGCTGTTGAGAAGTGCCTTAAGTATCCCCTCCTCAGTGAGAGATGGATTTCAGAGCAAACACTATAGTTTGGTTTAGGCGGGTGTGGTAGTGTAAACCTGAAAT